CAGCAGCAAATTATGCAAAACTTTGTTCACATACCAACAATATTCACCGAATGTAAAACTAAAGTCGACCTTGATTTAAGCATATAAAAAGAGCCCCAGATTCGCCTTTTTCAAGCAGAAAAGTGAACAGGACAACCATGGCTGCAATAGGAGCTCAAAACCAGAAGCTCACGAGTCACCCACACAAAGCTCACGAGTTAACCACACAAAGTTCGCCAGACAGCTACTCACACACACAAGAAAGAAAGCAGATATATTGGTATAAGGGCAGTTGCAAACATAAGGAACGTAATACCTATCAGAAAGGACAGAGTCAACCATCCTGAAACCAACCACCTCTCACTAAGAGCAAAGCCTCTTACTTAAACCATTCACACAACAATCTTAAGGTAAACAAATTTCATGCAAAAGCAATTGCGAATTTCTTTTTTAGAAAAATGTTCAAAATCAAGTGCGAGCATGAAAAGGAACTAAAGTAACTGTTATGTTAACCTTTTTTCTGGCCAGCCACATCCTAGCCATTAAGAAATAATAAAAAAAAAATACAAGGGTAAGCAGGCAGCCATTAGTTGTCAAAATATAAGTTGGTGGATATAGGCCAGAACGCTATCGAGGAAGTCACAATTGATTAAAAGTATAAAAGGTCACAACCAAAGTGTAACTGCGGATTCACTAGAACAACAGCAAATTATACCAAACATTGTTCACATGCCAAACATATTCACCGAATGTAAAACTAAAGCCAAACTTGATTTAACCATATAAAAGGAGGCTCAGATTCACATTTTATAGCAGAAAAGTGAACATGACAACAATGGCTGCAACAAAAGAGCTCAAAATAAGAAGCTCACGAGTCACACACCCAAAGTTTGCCAGACAGCCACTGACACACACAAAAAAAAAAGCAGATATACTGGTATAAGGGCAGTCTCAAACATAAGAAATGTAATCAGTAATCACCGGCTCCGTTTCCTACCAGAGAGGACAGAGTCAACCACCCTGAAACAACCGCCTCTCACTGAGAGCAAAGCCTCGTCCTTAAACCATTCACACAGCAATCTTAAGGTAAACAAATTTAATAAGCAATCGCAAATTTCTTTTTTAGAAAAGATGTTAGAAATCAAGTGCAAGCATGAAAAGGAACTAAAGTACCTGTTATGTGAAACCTTTTTTATGGCTAGCCACATACCAGCCATCAAGAAACAGGAAAATACAAGGGGAAGCAGGCAGCTATTAGTTGCCAAAATATAAGTTGGTGGTTATAGGCCAGAACACAATCGAGGAAGAGTATACAAGTTCACAATCAGAGTGTAACTACTAAGTGGGGATTCATTAGAACAGCAGCAAATTATGCCAAACTTCGTTCACATACCAACAATGTTCACCGAATGTAAAACAAAAGTCAACCTTGATTTAAGCATATAAAAGGAGGTCTAGATTCGCCTTTTTCAAGCAGAAAAGTGAACATGACAACCATCGCTGCCCTTTTTCAAGCAGAAGATTGAATATCCCAAAAGAGCTCACAATCAGAAGCTCACGGGTCACCCACCAAAACCTCGCCAGACAGCCACTCACACACACAAGAAGAAAGCAGATATATTGGTATAAGGGTTGTTGCCAACATGAGAAACAAGTATTAAAATTATGCAAAACGTTATTCACATGCCAACAACATTCACCGAATGTAAAACTAAAGCCGACCTTGATTTAAGCACATAAAATGAGGCTCATATTCGCCTTTTTCAAGCAGAAGATTGAACATTGGAAAAGAGCTCAATAATAGATGCTCACAAATGGCCTTTCACCAAAGCCGACCTTTTACATACGAACAACATTCACAGAATGTAAAAATAAACCCAACATTTATTTATGTATAAAAGGAGGCTCAGATGCAGGCAACCATTAGTTGCCAAAATATAAGTCGGTGGATATAGGCCAGAACACTATCGAGGAAGACTATACAAGTTCACGATCAAAGTGTAACTACTAAGTGGGGATTCACTAGAACAGCAGCAAATTACAAAGTGTAACTACTAAGTGGGGATCAACTAGAACAGCAGCAAAACTTTGCCAAACTTTGTTCATATACCAACAATGTTCACTCGAATGTAAACAGCAGCAAATTATGCCAAACTTTGTTCATATACCAACAATGTTCACCGAATGTAAAACTAAAGTCGACCTTGATTTAAGCATATAAAAGGAGGCCTAGATTCGCCTTTTTCAAGCAGAAAAGTGGACATGACAACCATTGCTGCAATAAAAGAGCTCAAAATCAGAAGATCATGAGTCACCCCACAAAAAGTTTGCATACAGCCACTCACACACACAAGAAAGAAAGCAGATATATTGGTGTAAGGGCAGTTGCAAATATAAGAAACGTAATTAGTAATCACTGGCTCCCCTCCCTATCAGAGATGATGGAGTCAAACCACCCTGAAACCAACCGCCTCTCACTCAGCGCAAAGCCTCGTATTTAAAACCATTCATACAGCAATCTTAAGGAAAAAAAATTTCATGCAAAATTGTAACTACTAAGTGGGGATTCACTAGAACAGCAGGAAATTATGCCAAACTTTGCTCAGCTACCAACAATATTCACCGAATGTAAGACTAAAGCCAACCTTGATTTAAGCATATAAAAGGAGGCTCAGATTTGCCTTTTTCAAGCAGAAAAGTGAACATAACAACCATGGCTGCAACAAAAGAGATCAAAATCAGAAGCTCTCGAGTCAAGCACCCAAAGTTTGCCAGACAGCCACTGACACACACAAAAGAGAAAACAGATATATTGGTATAAGGGCTGTTACCAACATAAGAAACGTAATCAGTAGTCACCGGCTCCGCCACCTGTCAGAGAGGACTGAGTCAACCACCTAGAAACCAACCGCCTCTCACTAAGAGCAAAGCCTTATACTTAAACCATTCACACAGCAATCTTAAGGTAAACATATTTCATGCAAAAGCAATTGCAAATTTTTTTTTTCAGAAAAATGTTCAGTTGAAGTACGTGTTATGTTAACCGTTTTTATGGCTAGCCACATACTAGCAATCGAGAAAACAGGAAAAATACAAGGGTAAGGAGCCAGCCATTAGTTGTCAAATTGTAAGTTGGTGATATTGGCCAGAACACTATCGAGGAAGTTACAATTGATTAAGAGCATACAAGTTCACAATAAAAGTGTAACTGCTACGTGGGGATTCACTAGAACAGCAGCAAATTATACTTCACCATATTGTGTGACAAATTAGGATAGCTAAAACATCATAGATGACTCAGACTCGTACGATTGTGAAACAAATGCATAAGAAGATTCTAACAAAAAGCAGATTATGATACATTGCCTGCCATTTGTTCATGTACAGTAGATTAGAACAGATATGATAAACCAGTATCCTGCTCAATTGATACATTAAAAAGCATCAAGAAGGATGCCTACCAAGATAATTCTTCATAAATTTAATACATAGATAATAACTTCGTTTTCATGTTTGGCTTTCTACTCTCACCCGTAGACCAAAATTCACAATCTTAGTGCAAGGTATTGAAAAACAGTTCAACAAGAAAAAATATAAAAATAAAATCCACAATTATTTTTTAATTTCGATTTTTCATGTTCGGTGTAAACTATAATGTAAACTGAAATGACTAGATCAAATGATATGCTTTAAATTCATTTACACCAAACAAACAAAATATAGGAACATCACATCCATGGCTAAAACGAAGAGCTATTTGTCGAACAGACTAAGCAAAATCAGAAGATCAAAGTCACCGAGCCAAAGGTCGGATCTCTTCCCTACAATCAAATGCACCCAGCAAATGGTATAATCACAGCCTCAATTACACATGCACATACATAGACAGAGAGATACTGATGAATTCAGGGAAACTTCGGTTTTATATTTTTTAGAAAAACATTTCCCAAGTAAACAAACAAGGCCCAAGCAGAAACAGAGAAATCCACAGAAAGAGAAGGCTCAGGTAAGATACACATTGAAATCCGACAGGACAGAAACACCACAACACCAGGGCTGCAACAACAAAAGGTTGCCTCGCCAAGAAATTGAGTATTTCTCCTCAAGTCTGACTTTCAATGCTCACTGAATATATCATCATAGCCTCGGCAGTTGCCAGACAGCCACTCAGACAAACAAGAAAGAAAGCAGATATATTGGTATAAGGGCTGTTGCCAACATAAGATACGTAACGAGTACTCACCGGGCTAACTATCAGAGAGGATGGAGTCAACCACCCTGAAACCAACCACCTCTCACTGAGAGCAAAGCCTCGTGCTTAACCCATTCACACAGAAATTTTAAGGTAAACATATTTCATGCAAAAGCAATTACGAATTTTTTATTTAAAAAAAAAAGAACAAAAATCAAAGAAAATGAAGAGCTAGAGACTTTAGACGATAGAGCCCAAAACAGAAACAGAAAAAATCGGTAGAAAGAGAAGGCTCAGATCAGGTAAGACTTCAAATCGGACAGGACAGAAACACCACAAAGCCAGGGCTATCAGACAGGACAGAAACACCACAACACCAGGGCTGCAACAACAAAAGGTTGCCTTGCCAAGAAATTGAGTATTTCTCCTTGAGTCTGACTTTTCAGGCTCACTGATTAATTATATCATAGCCTCGCCAGTCCCAGACAGCCACTCACACACACAAGAAAGAAAGCAGGCATATTTGTATAAGGGCTGTTGCCAACATAAGAAACGTAATCAGTACTCGCTGGCTCCGCTACCTACCAAAGAGGACAGAGTCAACCACCCTGAAACCAACCGCCTCTCACTGAGAGCAAAGCCTCGTACTTAAATCATTCACCCGCAATCTCCATTCACACAGCGATCTTACGGTAAACATATTTCACAAAAAAGCAATTGCAAATTTTTTATTTTAGAAAAAAAATAACATAAATAAAATCGAAATTGAACGGTGAGAGATTTCAGAGGATGGAGGCCCAAACAGAAATAGAAAAAATCTGTAGAAAGAGAAGGCTCAGATCAGATATGCCTTCAAATCGGACAAGACAGAAACACCACAATGCCAGGGCTGCAACAACTCAAGGTTTGCCTCGCCAAGAAATTGAGTATTTCTCCTCCAGTCTGACTTTTTAGGCTCACTGAATATATCGTCATAGCCTCGCCAGTCGATCGACAGACAGCCACTCACACACACAAGAAAGAAAGAAGATATATTGGTATAAGGGCTGTTGCCAACACAAGATCCGTAATGAGTAGTCACCGGCTCCGCTAACGATCAAAGAGGACAGAGTCCCCTGAAACCAACCGCCGCTCGCTGAGAGCAAAGCCTCATAGCTAAACCATTCACACAGCCATTCACACAGCAATATTAAGGTAAACATACTTCATGTAAAAGCAATTGCGAATTTTATATTTTAGAAAAAAAATAACATAAAGAAAATCGAAAATGAAGATCTAGAGATTGCAGAGGATGGAGGCCCAAACAGAAACAGAAAAAAATGGTAGAAAGAGAAGGCTCAGATCAGGTATGCCTTCAAATCGGACAGGACAGAAACACCACAACCCCAAGGCTGCAAAAACCAAAGGTTGCCCCGCCAAGAAATTGAGTATTTCTCCTCGAGTACGACTTTTCAGGCTCACTGAATATATCGTCATAGCCTTGCCAGTCGACAGACAGCCACTCACACACACAAGAACGAAAGCAGATATATTGGTATAAGGGCTGTAGGGCTGTTGCCAACACATGGTCCGTAATTGAGTAGTCACCGTGGCTCCGCTATCGATCAGAGAGGACAGAGTCAACCACCCTTTGAAACCAACCCCCCCTCCTCACGTGAGAGCAAAAGCCTCTTACCTAAACCATTCACACAACAGCAATATTAAGTAAACATTATTTCATGTAAAAGCAATTGCAAATTTTATATTTTAGAAAACAATATCATAAAGAAAATCGAAAAATGAAGAGCGAGAATTGCAGAGGATGGAGCCCAAACCAGAAACAGGAAAAAATAGGTAGAAGAGAAGGCTCAGATCAGATATGCCTTTTCAAAATCGGAACAGGACAAAAAACACCTCAAACCCCAGGGCTTGCAACAAAAAAAAGAGTTGCCTCTCCAAAAAATTGAGTATTTTCTCCCCCAGTCTGACTTTTCAGGGCTCACTGAATATTATCGTCATAGCCTCGCCAGGTGACAGACACCACTCACACACACAAGAAAGAAAACAGATATATTGGTATAAGGGGCTTGTTGCCAACACAAGATCCGTAATGAGTAGTCACCGGCCTGCTACCGATCAGAGAGGACAGAGTAAACCACCCTGAAACCAACCCCCCCCCCCTCACTGAGAGCAAAGCCTCATAACCTAAAACCATTCACAGAGCAATATTAAGGTAAACATACTTCATGTTTAAAAGCAATTGCGATTTTATATTTTAGAAAAAAATAACATAAAGAAAACGAAAATGAAGAGCTAGAGATGAAGAGGATGGAGGCCCAAACAGAAACAGAAAAAACGGTTTAGTAGAAAGAGAAGGCTCAGATCAGGTATGCCTTCCAAATCGGACAAGACAGATACACCCAACCCAGGGCTGCCAAAAAACCAAAGGTTGCCCCGCCAAGAAATGAGTATTTCTCCTCGAGTCCGACTTTCAGGTCAGGCTCACTGAATATATCGTCATAGCCTTGCCAGTCGACAGACAGCCACTCACACACACAAGAACGAAAGCAGATATATTGGTATAAGGGCTGTTGCCAACACATGGTCCGTAATGAGTAGTCACCGGCTCCGCTATCGATCAGAGAGGACAGAGTCAACCACCCTGAAACCAACCCCCCTCCTCACTGAGAGCAAAGCCTCTTACCTAAACCATTCACACAGCAATATTAAGGTAAACATATTTCATGTAAAAGCAATTGCAAATTTTATATTTTAGAAAACAAATATCATAAAGAAAATCGAAAATGAAGAGCGAGAGTTTTAGAAAACAAATATCATAAAGAAAATCAAAAATGAAGAGCGAGAGATTGCAGAGGATGGAGGCCCAAACAGAAACAGAAAAAAATAGGTAGAAAGAGAAGGCTCAGATCAGATATGCCTTCAAATCGAACAGGAGAGAAACACCTCAACCCCAGGGCTGCAACAAAAAAAAGGTTGCCTCGCCAAAAAATTGAGTATTTCTGATCTGAGCAAAGCCTCTTACCTAAACCATTCACACAGCAATATTAAGGTAAACATATTTCATGTAAAAGCAATTGCGAATTTTATATTTTAGAAAACAAATATCATAAAGAAAATCAAAAATGAAGAGCGAGAGATTGCAGAGGATGGAGGCCCAAACAGAAACAGGAAAAAATAGGTAGAAAGAGAAGGCTCAGATCAGATATGCCATGCTTCAAATCGGACAGGACAGAAAACACCTCAACCCCAGGGCTGCCAACAAAAAAAAAAGGGTTGCCTCGCCAAAAAAAATATGAGTATTTTCTCCCCCAGTCTGACTTTTTCGGCTCACTGAATATAATCGTCATAGCCTTCGCCAGTCCCAGTCGACAGACAGCCACTCACACACACAAGAAAGAAAACAGATATATTGGTATAAGGGCTGTTGCCAACACAAGATCCGTAATGAGTAGTCACCGGCTCTGCTACCGATCAGAGAGGACAGAGTAAACCACCCTGAAACCAACCCCCCCCCCTCACTGAGAGCAAAGCCTCATACCTAAACCATTCACAGAGCAATATTAAGGTAAACATACTTCATGTAAAAGCAATTGCGAATTTTATATTTTAGAAAAAAAATAACATAAAGAAAATCGAAAATGAAGAGCTAGAGATTGAAGAGGATGGAGGCCCAAACAGAAACAGAAAAAAACGGTAGAAAGAGAAGGCTCAGATCAGGTATGCCTTCAAATCGGACAGGACAGATACACCACAACCCCAGGGCTGCAAAAACCAAAGGTTGCCCCGCCAAGAAATTGAGTATTTCCCCTCGAGTCCGACTTTTCAGGCTCACTGAATATATCGTCATAGCCTTGCCAGTCGACAGACAGCCACTCACACACACAAGAACGAAAGCAGATATATTGGTAGATATATTGGTATAAGGGCTGTTGCCAACCACATGGTCCTTAATGAGTAGTCACCGGCTCCGCTATCGATCAGAGAGGACAGAGTAACCACCCTGAAAAACCAACCCCCTCCTCACTGAGAGCCTCACTGAGAGCAAAGCCTCGTACCTAAACCATTCACACAGCAATCTTATGGTAAACATATTTCATAAAAAAGCAATTGCGAATTTTTTATTTTAGAAAAAAATAACATAAATAAAATCGAAATTGAACGGTGAGAGATTTCAGAGGATGGAGGCCCAAACAGAAACAGAAAAAATCTGTAGAAAGAGAAGGCTCAGATCAAGTATGCCTTCAAATCGGACAGGACAGAAACACCACAACCCTAGGGCTGCAAAAACCAAAGGTTGCCCCGCCAAGAAATTGAGTATTTCTCCTCGAGTCCGACTTTCAGGCTCACTGAATATATTCAGGCTCACTGAATATATCGTCATAGCCTTGCCAGTCGACAGACAGCCACTCACACACACAAGAACGAAAGCAGATATATTGGTATAAGGGCTGTTGCCAACACATGGTCCGTAATGAGTAGTCACCTGCTCCGCTATCGATCAGAGAAGACAGAGTCAACCACCCTGAAACCAACCGCCGCTCACTGAGAGCAAAGCCTCGTATCTAAACCATTCACACAGCAATATTAAGGTAAACATATTTCATGTAAAAGCAATTGCGAATTTTATATTTTAGAAAAAAAATAACATAAAGAAAATTGAAAATGAAGAGCTAGAGATTGCAGAGGATGGAGGCCCAAACAGAAACAGAAAAAAATAGGTAGAAAGAGAAGGCTCAGATCAGATATGCCTTCAAATCGGACAGGACAGAAACACCTCAACCACAGGGCTGCAACAAAAAAAAAGGTTGCCTCGCCAAAAAATTGAGTATTTCTCCTCCGGTCTGACTTTTCAGGCTCACTGAATATATCGTCATAGCCTCACCAGTCGACAGACAGCCACTCACACACACAAGAAAGAAAGCAGATATATTGGTATAAGGGTTGTTGCCAACACAAGATCCGTAATGAGTAGTCACCGGCCCCGCTAACGATCAGAGAGGACAGAGTCAACCACCCTGAAACCAACCGCCTCTCACTGAGAGCAAAGCCTCGTACCTAAACCATTCACACAGATCTTACGGTAAAAACATATTTTCATAAAAAAGCAATTGCGAATTTTTTACTTTTAGGAAAAAACAATAACATAAATAAATAAAGCCTCGTACCTAAACCATTCACACAGCAATCTTACGGTAAACATATTTCATAAAAAAGCAATTGCGAATTTTTTATTTTAGAAAAAAAATAACATAAATAAAATCGAAAATGAATGGCGAGAGATTTCAGAGGATGGAGGCCCAAACAGAAACAGAAATAATCTGTAGAAAGAGAAGGCTCAGATCAGATATGCCTTCAAATCGGACAGGACAGAAACACCACAACGGCAGGGCTGCAACAAAAAAAAAATGTTGCCTCGCCATGAAATTGAGTATTTCTCCTCGAGTCTGACTTTTCAGGCTCATTGAATATATCGTCATAGCCTCGCCAGTCACCAGACAGCCACTCACACACACAATAAATAAAGCAGATAAATTGGTATGAGGACTGTTACCAACATAAGATCCATAAGGAGTAGTCACCGGCTCCGCTAACGATCAGAGAGGACACAGTCAACCTCCCTGAAACCAACCGCCACTCACTGAGAGCAAAGCCTCGTACCTAAACAATTCACACAGCAATCTTAAGGTAAACATATTTCATGCAAAAGCAATTGCGAACGAAGGAAAGCCCTCTAAAACCCAAAAATCGTCACAGCCTCTTTATAAGAAGAACAAAGGAAAGCCCGCAAAAGAAGAGAATGATGATGATTATGATGATCTATCTATATATATACAAACAGAGACAAACGACGGCTATTAGACAAACGACGGAGAAATCATCGGCCCCGCAGTCGTTCAGAAAGGCGAAGCAACCGCCTTCTCTGCCGCCTCTCTGAGAGCAAAGCCTCATTCTCAAGATTGCTTGATTCATACAATGGGCGCATCTTGCATTTGATGGTAACTTCGTGTTTTCCTTTTATTCCATGATTAGCCTTTTGAGTGCGAGGCGTTGGGCGGTGGAACATAACGGTAACTTGCGGAGGGCAATAAGTTAAGGGTAATTTGGTAAATAACATCATACCCGGGGTAAAATTCACTTCTCCTCCTGCACTCACACCATAAGCATAACAATGCCAAGTTCATAGCTTCTCATTCAATTCCATGTAAAACAAATAATAAATAAATAAAAGTTCTGAATCAAGAAATAGTTACACAAAGCATTTTATTCAGAATCATTATCCTTTGTTCATTCCTATGGCTTCACATCAAGGCAGCAAACTGCTCTTTTACAAGTAATGTACGCTCAACCAGTTGAAACAGAATAACATAATTAGCCTAACCTACAGTGATGGAATTTTATGAGGTGATGGAATTTTATGAGATATCGGCTGGATCAAGCATATCTACCAAAGTCATCCTTCTAGCCAATCTTCGAGCCCCATTAACTCAATAGAAGGCATAGAATCCCCTTGCTTGCCTTCAAGAATCTCAAACCACTGAACATTGTCAAGGACAGTAAACTTTTCTTTGATGGCATCTTTCAAGGATAGCCAATTAAGTTGAAGCTTATATTGGTGGAAAACTCCAGATTCTGTTGCATCATGACCGTTCCAGAGGATCTGACCTGCAGAAGGCTTAGAAAATCCAGTCAGCATACGTAAGAAGATGGATGAAGAGAATAGGGAGAAGACGCATAGTAAATCGGATTAAGAGGAGTATAGCGATTCAAAGGATTAGTCATGTGATAGAAACCCTAGAATGTGAATTTTGAGAAAGAAATAGAACCAACAACGAAACTGACAAGCTGAATCCAAACTGAGAACAATTGAACTCAACTAAACATGAAAATCCCAAAGTGAACCCTAGAAAAAAAAGAATAAGAACTGATTTTAGGATGAAAACAACTAACTATGCTTTCAAAGCAAATATAATGGCAATAGAAGATGATTCTAAAGAACAACTACCACAAATCCCCAATTTTTGACCTAAGATTATAAATCGAAGAAGAAACCATATTACGAGGGGGAAAAAACAATTACCAGAGGAAAAAGGATGAGCAATCTTTACTGTAACTTGAACCAGCCATCACAATAGGATGAAAGCAACTCGATTATGCCCAAATCAGTATGGAAATCAACAAGAACTAAAGTAGGAAGCGAGAAAATGAGCGAAAGCTAAGAGAAATAAAGAGTGGTAACCGTCGCTTTTGGCCTTTTGTGAGAGAGAGAATTTAATACAGCTGTCAAAAATAAAACATTACATGTAAAATAAGCTTAACAAATTAACAAACTAGGCAATACATCACTGATTGTACGTCACTTCCTTCTTTGCTGTAATGCTTGTGCTTTGGCCTTAGAGACCTCAAGTATTATTATTTGACACTTGCAGGTTGCATCCCATTTAACTTTTTTCTATATGCAAAAGTATAATTTGAAGTAAGCTATAAATAATAGAAGTAATTTTATAGGCTTTCACGATATGAAATGTGAAGGAAACTGAAGAACAATTTATACTAAATCAATAAAAAATCAATCTCTGATGATGACAAGTACTGAAAAATGTTCATCTGAGTGCATTCAATCAAATGATTCTCAGATTTTGCCAATTGATTGCATATCTCACTAATCACTAAATCAATATCAAAGAGTTAATAAAATAGAAGAATTTCAAAAATTAAAACGGTAAAATTTGGATGTGCCATATTCTGACAGATAAAATGTATATTCAGATTTTTATAATGTCCAATATAGAACCTAGTTCCTTAAAGTAAACTGCACACGTCATATAATCATCCATTTAAAATTGCGGATGGCGATCTAAGTCTCTGCTTTTGTATCAGAAAATAAGACTATGCCTCACAAATTATGTAGCTCTACATCTTAAAAATTAAATGAAGCAATTGCGCAGCAAATCCAGAGCATGATACCCTCGTAATGTCACTTGCTAGCTATTCCATACACTTGAGGGTTTATAAATGCAGCATTAGAGAAAATGGTTGTGCTTATATCGACGCCTGAGAATCCAGCTTCTGAAATCTTCTTTCCAGTTTCTCTTGTTAGATGACAGCCATCAGCAACTGCTTGTTGTAGAGGATCAAGGACATTCTGTAGAAATCTAAGAAATGTTCCATCTGCATCAACCAATACAAGTTAAAACATCAACACTAATAAAAGCATCCCGTTCAATGTTAAATAAATTTCATAAAAGCTTTTATTGAACCCGTTTAGATTTCATTTTTCCAATGCTTGTTATGAATAAAAATGCTCATTGATAATTTAAAGTTCGTTTAATACTGAAAAAAAGTTTTAAGTTCCACATTCATAACGAATCAAGTAGTTTAAGCTTCGTACCTTTTGCCGCCACATGCTCCACAAATAAGTAAAGCCCACCTGGTCTAAGCAGCCTCTTCACCTCTACACACAAATGGTTCAAGTTCAATCTCAGTAGCTTGAAATCTCAGACATATATAGCATATAACTCTAACAATGCACTAAACAAAAACCATTTACAACTTACATGGCCTATTATGAACAAATGTTGCCGAAATTTTAATAGGCAGTCTTTTGTTTTTGGATACAAGAGAATGGAATTATTTAATGCTGCTAGCTGTAAATCATATATGAATTGAGAATTCAAAACCATCTCTACTATCGGAAACAATGGTGAATTTGTTCTAAAGATAAGATTTATTAATTAGTCTGTGACTCTGTAAACCTATGCAGAACAAAATAGCTAATGTCTTCTCACTTCTCTTATAGAACAAAGTAACCTTGTAACAGACAGCTTGAGGCTTTCCTTTTGAATTTTAAGTTGGTTAAGTTCAAATAAACAAAAATCCCAAGCAGAAAATCAATTACCCTGCAATGTCTGATCAACATCAGCAACGGAGCATAATACGAGAGTTCCAACAACTGCATCAACAGAAGCATCACTTAATGGTATAGCCTCCCCAACCTGGATATAAGCAATAACTTGAAAATCAACCAAAAAAAAAAAAAAAAAAAAAAAAAAAAAACCTGGATATAAGGCAATAACTTTGGAAAATCAACCAAAAAAAAAAAAAAAAAAAAAAAAAAAAAAAGTTTACAAATTGCTAAGCAACAAATGATAAAATCAAAGTTTAAAAAAAAAAAAAAAAAAAAAAAAAAAAAAAAAGTTTACAAATTGCTAAAGCAACAAATGATAAAATCAAAGTTTAACTTGATGGCACTAAAATTAAACTACAAGTGGACCTGCCCCCTATTGGCAAGGAGACTGAGCAAGTGATTCAAAGGAGCAGCTGTTCAGATTATTCTGTCGAATCTTTCAGTAAAATCTGGTGAACTGTAAGGGCCTTGTTTAACATAAGCGAATTCTGCAATGCAAATTCATTTGAAATTTCGCAATTTCAATTTTGATATAAATGAAAATGCCATAATAAATTCAAATTTATAGAATTTAATGCAACTAAACCAAATTCTATAATTTCTAGAAATAAATTTGATACTTCAATTTCATTTCTACCAACAAAGTAAAAAGCAAATGCCTTATCATTTTACCTGTTTGCTGTTACTCTGTGTACTAGTATGATGAAATTACATGTATTTGACACCCTGAAATGCCAGTGACAGATCAAAACAAATGGGAAGCATAACCAACAACTAGAAAAGCCCATTTGCAAATTTCTTCAGCCATTTAGCTTGAGAGGGTAATTTTCATGGGAGGCATATAATAATATCTATGAAATTACTACTAGATAATGAATTTTGGAAAAAAAAAAAAAAAAACACATACTGCCTGTATAAATTTGAAATTCGCAGGCGCTACACCAGCAGCCTCCGCTGCTTGTTGTGCATATTTTTCCATCTTCCCATTTGGATCCACACCAAAAACCTCTAAATCGTCATCATCACTAGCATAGTATTTGAGATTGGGGCCAGTGCCAATGCCAATCTCCAATACTTTCTTGGTCTTTCCCCTCAAATTAGTAAAGAGATCTGACTTGTAAGCTGCAATCTTACCAAACAATATAAACACTAAATACCACATGATACCATCAAATGGAAAAGCCAAGAAAATTTCAAAATTAACAAGAAAAGAAAGTTCACTAGTTATGCTAACCTCTGCCTCATACGCTCTCTCTAATTTCAAAAGCGATGCATAAAATTCTTCGTACCAATCAGGTCTTGGAGGGTGAACCCTGTTTAGTACAGCCTACAAGTAGACTGTATCTAATGTATAAACTCTCCTTTCGTTCATAAATCAATCAAAATAAGCCATATATTATTTCGTATAATACCTTATAATCAGAAGCATTTGCAGAAGGCACTGAAATTAAAGCTGTTGCTGCGGCTTCAAGAAAATGCCTTCTTCCACATGGGCAAATTCTTGATAGCTTTGTCTCAACGTTAAATTGGTTGCTGACATGATTCGACGGTTTGGGTTTGAGGGTTGAAGCATTAGTTTTGGGGGTAGAAGAGCAAAGAATTATGGGGTTTAGAGGATAAAGAGAGGAGAAAAGAGATGAATTAATAAGGATCATCCTTGAAAGGTCTTGGTTTATTTGTTTGGCCCTGGATTGTTTATATAAACTAGATAATGGTTTTTATATAAACTAAATTTCACTTTTTTTTGTCAAATTTATCTTAATTCCGTGGTTTTGGAGAGCAGTGTTTCCATCAATACATTTTTTTTCTTATAGTTCAATAAAATCTTTACTATGTTGGTAATTTAGGAATGACAGGATCGAAGAGAAAATCTAACGAGCTGTGACCGTGACAAAAGAGGCAATCCTACCCTAGAATCTAATGCCAGCTGTCCACTTTCACATATTGATTTTCTCTCTCCATATAAATACACCACCGCTCGCTCAAACCAAAACAAAACAACACAAAAGTCAATTCTAAAGTAACATCCACACATACCGCAAGCAAGACTCCTCGCTATACTGCAAAATTTCTCTCTTATATTATCTTCTTCTTCTTTGTTTACGTGTTCCGTTTTCTTTCTCTTCCTCTCGCTCTCTCGATCCGTTGATTATTCCATTTCCAGATCTATGGCCGGCCAGAAAAATGATTATGGAAAGAGATCCAATTCGCAATATGACTACGGCGGAGGCAAGCGGAGGAACCCTGGCGACGATGGCGACCAGCCGCATACGATTGGGAGTGAAGACACCGTCTACCGCTACTTATGTCCGTTGAGAAAGATTGGGAGTATTATTGGCCGAGGTGGTGAGATAGCGAAGCAATTGAGGTCAGAGAGTAAATCGAACATTAGAATTAGCGAGGCTATGCCCGGATTTGAGGAGCGCATTGTTACTATTTATAGCTCTAACGAGGAGACTAATCTTTTTGGAGATACTGGCGAGTTTGTTTCCCCTGCTCAGGATGCTCTTTTCATGGTTCATGATAGGATTGTTGCTGAGGACTTGCCTCCTAGTAATGATGAAGATGATGAATTTGGAGAGCCTCAACAGGTTACTGTTAGGATGCTTGTGCCTTCTGATCAGATTGGCTGTGTTATTGGGAAAGGTGGACAGGTGATTCAGAATATACGGAGCGAAACTCGTGCTCAGATTCGTATTTTAAAGGATGAGCATCTGCCTCCTTTGGCTTTCAGTAGCGATGAGCTACTTCAGGTGAGGAGTATTTCTTTGAACTTTTATTATGTCGATGTTTGCTTGTTTTCATTCCTTTTAAGTTCCCATAAATAGTCATGCTACAGCTCATAAGGATTTTGTCTCTGGAAAAAACTAAGGAAAGTGAAAATGGTCAAACAACTGCTCGTGTAGCTAACCACACTATATCGTGGCTCTCTGTGTACCATCCTTCAGTTACGTACTTAGAACCCAAGTTTTCATAGGCATCATTGTTGTTTGGGGCAGTTGATGGAGGATATGAATGAATTATAGTTATGGAGTGTTCATTATCTGATGTAGGAATGAGTGGGTTTAAATTTTTTGATATTGCCGATTTGTTAGGTGACTTGAGGGGGTTTTAATTCATTGCCTGGTTTCTTTTATTTCAATTTTATGATTTCAGATAATTGGAGAACCTGCTGTTGTTAGAAAGGCTCTTTATCAAGTGGCTTCTCGCCTTCATGACAATCCATCCAGATCCCAGCATTTGCTTTTGTCTTCCTCAACCAACATTTATCAATCTGGTAGCATGTTTGTGACTGCCAATGCTGGTACCCCTTTAATGAGTCTTTATGGTAATTACAAAGGTGGCTGGTCATCGTCTTTGTACTCTGATCAGAGAGATGAAGCTTCTGCTAAAGAGTTCTCTCTTCGTTTGGTGTGTCCTATTGGAAATATCGGAGGTGTGATTGGAAAAGGTGGTGGTATCATTAAGCAAATTCGTCAGGAATCTAGGGCATCGATTAAAGTTGATAGTTCTGGTGCTGAAGGAGATGATTGCATTATATTTATATCAGCAAAGGAGGTGAGGATGCATTCTTATTTATCAGTTATTTCGCTATCGATTACACTACAAATATATTTAGATTCTAGATTTAGAGCCACATGATTATTGCTGTTTCAAACATTTGCTCTTACAGTATTTTGAAGATCAATCTGCAACACTCAATGCAGCACTGCGCCTGCAACCACGCTGCAGTGAGAAAACTGAAAGGGAGTCAGGTGACTCTGTAGTTACCACTCGTCTACTTGTACCAAGATCACAGATTGGATGCCTCATGGGTAAAGGAGGGGCTATTATTTCTGAGATGAGAAGTGTAACACGGGCAAGCATCCGAATCCTCTCAGAGGAAAATCTTCCCAAGGTTGCTTCTGATGATGATGAGATGGTGCAGGTGGATGATCATAAACTTTATAGCATGCATTTCTTTTATGCCCAATCATTACAGTGTTATGGAGACAATATCTTTTAATGCTTATCAGATCACCGGCAGCCTTGATGTTGCTAGCAATGCCCTCTCACATGTTGTTTTGAGGTTGAAAGCCAATTTATTTGGGAGGGATGGAGCCCTAACTGCATTTCCACCAACTCTTCCATATATTCCTGTTTCAGTGGACATGTTAGATGGTCCGAAATATGGGAATCGAGAAAGTCAATCACGCGGACGCGGATACTCCTCATCTGGTGGTTATAGTTCACGTGATTTGCCTGCAACTGACAATTATGGAAGTAATGGTAGTTCACTGGTAAGTTTATGAAGTTCTTTTGTATTTTTCCCTTATCTTTTTTGCTTTTTTCATCTTTTTAAGGTGTGAGGTATTCATGACTTTTGTGTCTAGAAACACTTAAGGATTTGTAAAATCTTGTGCAATCATGGCTACATTGTCATTATTTCTTACAATGTTTTGTGTGGTTGTCACTATCCAGAGTGGTGGTGAAAGTGCTTACGGAGCATATGGTGGTGGCTTCTCTTCTGGTCGTTCTGGTGGTGGGGGGTAAGTTTTTTATTTTTATTTTTATTTGTTTAGCATATGTTTGAGACACCCTTTTTTTTTTTTTTTTTTTTTTTTTTATTTTTATTGTTTAGCATATGCTTTGAGACCACCCTTTTTTTTTTTTTTTTTTTTTTTTTTTTTTTTTTTTTTTTTTTTTTTCACCATCGGAATTGTTAGCTGAAAGCTGGGCAATTAGTTTATTCTTTTTTTTCCTTTCTCTTTTGCCTCTTAAATTTCAAGTATTCAATTATCTTTCTTTTTGGGCCATTTTGATTATATATCTTCCAGGCCTGATTTTAGCATCTCTTTCTAGGTTATCTGGTCAAAACTCAGTTAACCAAAGAAAGCATCATGGATATTAGTCCCATATTATATGGCCAACAGGTATGATTTTGTTTTCCTCTTTTTTTAAATTAATTTATTGTCCCAATAAGTATGTCATATATATATTTTATTAAGAGGAGACAGGAGCACATAGATGAATGATGATATCTAACCCACCCATCCAAGTTTTAGAATTCTAATGACCTTTTCCCTTCTCTCTACAATCTAAACAGCAGCGACCTACAAATCCTGAAGCCTCTTTCTGCCCTTTTGATGAAGCCTTTGGCCTAGTTCAGAAAAGATCAGATGAACAAAGTTTGAGAAAATTGTGCCTCACCTTGGTTCACCCTGGATGCTTTGTTTGGGTGACCTACATGTTCTGATGATGCAATTCACCAATCAAAGTGGACCTTGACACCAATACTTATCAAGCTCTATATTATGTGCTCTAAATGGTCATATGCTCAGCACACTTACGTGTAACAGCAATAACACATGTTTTCTTTGTAAAAGTAATGTGATTGGCAGCGATGACTTTTTCCTCCTGGTTCTGTGGAGGAAAAAGCTTGTGTAACTGAATTGTGATGGCATCTGGCGTTTTGTAGTTTTCAATCTTTGTGTGGATTGAGAGAGTATCGCATTAGACATTTGGAAAATTAGGTTGTTGTACTTTCAGTTACACTGAACCATCTTCTTGTTAGTTGTGCTGGCATTCATTATTTCAACTTGCATTTTTTTTTTTTTATCATTATTTTCTTTTCTCTATGACCCATGGCTTTTTGTTGCCATCATTTAGTTAAAGGGAACCAACTCATTTTTCCATCTATTTTTAGATCTTCATGAATTTCACTTGTGATTAAGATATGAAATTGTTCTGATTATGCAAACTCCTTTAAACGCATGTATCTTGGTCATGGTATATCTTCAGGTTTGTTTCTTAAAGCTTTGGGAAAATCACAATCAGGGCTATGGTTTGCCTGAGAGGTAATTGTGCATATTCCTCTTTGAGTTGATTGACAGATTGCTGACTTGGTGAAGATAAAGTCAGGTCAAGGGGTAGGCTTATTCTTTATATTGTATCTTCTTATTTTTACTAGTCCTTGAGCAGATGGATTTAAGTTCTTTCTGGAACTAATGTGGCAGGTATTAAATCATGGTTTCCTTGACCAGGAGGTATGTTTTTCTGCAACTAGTAAAGTAGTTATTACTAATTAATTACTGAGCTGGATGTTCCCATCAAACATAACCTAACTGCAAATGAGAATTTAGATGATTGAGATCAAACAATAGAAATATAGTCATGTGATATCACATCAATTATTTGGACAAAATTTTGATTTGAAAAAGCAAAGGGAAAAGTGATGTGTCCCACATCGCCCGCGGAGTACATCCTTGGCTAGTGTATAAAGCTGGGTTCAGTCCTTCCCCTACGAGCTAGCTTTTGGGATGAAGTTAGAGGTCCAGATCCTTATCATTTGGTATCAAAGCTCTGGCTTCATAGGGTCGGTGTCTCATGGGGTTCGTCAGAACGCCGACTGAGGTAGTCGGGTCTTATGGGGGTGGGGATGATGCGTCCCACATCCATGGGGTTCGTCAGAACGCCGACTGAGGTAGTCGGGTCTTATGGGGGTGGGGATGATGCGTCCCACATCGCCCGTGGAGTACATCCTAGGCTAGTGTATAAGGTTGGGTTCAGTCCTTCCCCTACAAGCTAGCTTTTGGGGCGAAGTTAGGGGTCCAGATCCTTATCAAAAAGTTTCTAATTTTTAGTTTGAAACTTACACTTCATTAGGACATTGCATGCTCATCCTTCAATGGCACATTTGTAGGGTAATAAGTGATCTAAATGCGAGGGAAAATGATAAAAAGAATAATGCCCAAGGAGTAATATAACTGCTCTTCTATAGGGTCTCATTGCATGAATATAACATGAAATGCTCATTATCTTACAGAGTGAAACACAATGGAACGAAGAGCGTGGTTATATGCTAGCCTGTAGTTTTTGATAGTCTGTTTTTGTCTATTTGCCAGATTAGTATAGTTGTGCCGATTAATTTCTTTTCTAAATTTTGATGTGATAGATTTCATGGTCTTGCTGATGCATATTTGTGTACATGTTTGCAAAGTGCAAACAGCAGTTTGATTTAGTTGCATTCTATGGTTGAGCATAATTTGAAGATGCTGATTTGCAATGGCTGTGCATTTCAATTTTGCATCCCTCCAATGTCATTATATTTATTTGCCTGTACTATTAATTTCTATTCTAATTTGAAGGTCCTTTTTTTTTTTCCTTTTGTTGGCTACAACATTTTCTTTTTCATTGAATTTGACTGCAATTAAGCTTTCAGAAGCCAATTTCGCTTTGACTGTTCGACAGACATTTAGTGCAGGTGGTTTTATTAAGTGAAGAACAAATGCCAGATAAATTAACTAGTAGTTTGATATATTGTATGTTTAAATGCAATTTTAGTTCGTTTTTTATCAGTTGGCTACTAAGGAATGAAAGAGATTACAGAGAAATCATGGTCTTTCTGGAACCATTAAATCGTAGACAATAAAAAACGACTTGGGGTTGACATCTCCCGTTCTATATAATTCAAGGGTTTGAGGAAAAAGGGAAGCGTGCAAACGAGATCGAGTTCACATCGCCTTTTTCGTTCTCCATTCTCTGTTGATTATTTTTCGCGGTGATTTGGATCAACGAAAATGTAAAGTTCATGGAAATTAAATTTTATGGATTGTAAAATTTTGAAATTTCAATTTAATCATTTGGTTAGATAATAAAATCTTATGCATTTAAATGATATTTTTGAAATAAAATTATATGGTTTAAAATTTAATCATAAAGAATTAGATAAATCAATAAATTGTTTCTCAATTTTGATTAATCTAAAATCTCTTTATATTATTTTACAATTTTTAATTTCTAAATAAATCTAGATACTATTTTTAAACAATTAAGGTTAAATGAGAATAAATAAATTCTTGTAACACATAGCTTATTGATAAGTGAGAAGTGCATGATAAATTCACCTCTCAAATTTTTTTTAATCTGTTAAAAATAAATTTTTGTGAATTAATCTCATTTTGTAAATGAATTTCATTAAAAATTATTTTATAAACAATTTCATATTTGAATTAATTACAAGTTCTTTTAAATATATAATTTTATTAATATGTACTAATTAGCTTTACTAGTTTGGGCTCTTATAAGTTGAGGCCCTTTCCCAATAGTTCATTGATTTAGATTTATCTGGCATTTCCTTTTTTTTTTTTTTTTTTTTTTTTTTTTTTTTTTTTTTTTTTTTTGGGGGGGTTAGGTGGTTGATAAACCATTTGGTCCTTCAAGTTTGATCATAATTACTGCTTCAGTTTTTTTATTTAATAAATATATTAATTAGTCTCTGAAATTTAGTTTCGATTTAGTTCTTTGTCCAGGAATTGTTATTTTAGTTTTTTACTATTAAATGAGAGACAATAATTATTCAATATTAATTATAAATGACTAAATTGTAACATTCTATTAAATGTGAATGACCGAATATTCAAATATTACAAGCTATTTAATTTCTAAAATGACACTAATGGTCACAAGAACAAAATAGTTTAATAAGAAATAAACTTCAAGAACTAATCAATACCTATACCAAATAACAGATAATTGTACTTATGATTAAATATGAGGCATTAAATAGTTGTTTATCCTAAAACTAGCAAGAATTGCATTTTAAGAATATATTTAACATGTTCTAGCTGTAAAAAACTTTGAAATGGCTAGTGGTAATTTCAAACTGCCAGCATCATCTAAAAAGATTGTTTTAGGACAGAAAAGCCTTTCCTACCAAACACTATTTCTCTTTTCTTTCAAAAGCTTTCTCCTTAACAGGAAAAAGAAAGCCATAAATAAGACAAGTGAAAAAAAAAAAAAAAAGCAAAAAGCATTAAGAAAAAAAAAAAAAAAAAAGCATTAAGAAATTCTTCATACCAACTATTGCATTTATGGTTAAAATGAATACAACCAACGATGACTATCGCATACTTTTTTCTTTTGGCTCTGTTTAATTACTGATTAAAAAAGGCTCAGCAACATTTGTAATTTATTATATGAGCACCTTATAAATCTCCGATTGAGAGAAAAATGAAACAAAGGTACAATCTCAGTTGGTCCAACTCCAATATGTGCGTCTAGTTATGGCAGCTCTGGTCCCCATGGCCAGTGTTCTTATCATCCCCAGCTTCCATTGTGTTGTTCTCATCCTCAGAAGATGTATGGTTATTCCCACCATCAACTGCTAGTAAATGGAATGGTAGAGATGAGGTCTTGGACAAGTTCAAACAAAGATATCTGGAAAATAAAATAATCAACTGTACATACCATCACAATCGTCTGCAGGAGCATAAGCTGATCGCCTCAAACGCACTTGGTTGTGATGTGGGGAGGGCTGCAACAAACAGAAACTGTGTCAAACCATCAAAACAAATATAAACCTACTTGTATAATGATATAGACAACCATGAATCAAGACGGTGCATTGATTTCTTGAATTCGGATAATTAAAGCTATATTTGGTATGTTGATTTCTTGAATTCGGATAATTAATGCTTTGATATGTTGAAGGGCAGACACTAATTAGCAGAAGTTTCAGCTTTCAACTTTTTGTTTATAATTTTGAACTGTTTAAGTCTTTTGGATTTTAGAATGATATTTCAAAAGTTTTGTATTTATCAAATCCTTTGAACAAGTGGTTGAAAATGCGAAACATGACAACTCCGATCACTCATCCAAACCAGCCTGTAAGTGTATGTATCCACAATACCTGCAACTTTGGGCGGAGAGCTTCAAGTGGACCTTTAGGCTTTCCTGCTCCTTGCTGTATTTGTCCAAGTAAAAGACATATGCCAAGAACCAAAACATAAAATTTTAAAGTCAATATCAAAAATCTAAAAATATCGAAAATCCAATAAGTAAGAAAACATCTAAATGTAGATTAAAATTCTGAACAAAAGAAAAGACTAACCTTTCCCAATGCCCAATCAGCAGAATCAAAGAATGCACGCTCATGATCCTACATAGAATGAGAAATAATGCTCGTCGATATTCTCTGCTAGGCATTTCTTCAAACATATTAACTTCATAAACAATAGTTACCTTAGATATCAAAGGTTTCTTCTTTGGTAAAATACCCCCATATTTTTTCTTCACCACTTCCTCCTGAACAAAACAAAAGAAATTTGCAATCAACAAAAGAGCAAAGATCATTACAATTTTTTTAGAAAAAAAAAAAAAAAGAAAACTATAAAATGATAGAATATACCTCTTGTTGAGGGGAAGGCATGGCCATGGCGTTTTCACCATTTTGATCAGAAGCTTTGAGCTCTTCACCACCAACAACTTGGTCTTGAAGATTAGCATCACAAATCTCTTGCTCCTTCTCCATGTTTGAGCTTGACATATCCTCCGCTTTCTAGACTGGTAAAGAAAGGCATCACTTTATCAGTATATAACAAATCGCAAATGGTCAAATTTGTATATATTGTCCAAATGGCAAACGTAACACAGACAAGACAAGCTTCCTTTCTGCAAGGCCATGACAGATGGAGTCGCTAAACATATGCATACAAAAAATCATTTTTTAAAAAATAATCATTAAACCCTTTTTTCCCAATTCTATATCTCAAAAAAAAGTCATAGAAAATGTTTTCAAAATCATGAAAAAGAAAAAAAAATAAAATTACAATCTTGATACGATAGAAATAAACCGTTAGAAACCTGAAGAATAGGAGAAGAATGGAAGTTGACGAGTTTAGTTATTATTACCTGATGATTGAAGATGGATCGTCCAAGGAGGCTTTGGCGGCGGAATCCGCTACGACCAACGGGTCGACCCGAATTTGGCTAATCTTATCCTGATATATGTTTCTCAGGATTCGAATTGAAGCCTAAAGAATACGCACATGGAACAAGCTAACGTTTTCTACTTTTGCCTCTCTGTAAAGATAGGCCATGGGCCCATTGGCCCATTTTCCTTTAGGTTTTATGTGTTTTGGTGGCCCATATGGTTGTTTCCCAAAACAGGCCCAACCTCTTTCAATTGGGCTCAAAGGACGATGGGAGAAAGAAAACATAGGTCAGCTCATGTACACCGAGAATAAGTCTCTACATTGATGAAATATTTTGCGTTGTTTCCCGATTAAAATTGAAATCTAGTTTAAAAAAAAAAAAAAAAAAAAAAAAAAAAGGACGCAATTGTGTAATTATGTGAAGGGTGAAAAAAAAAAAAAAAAAAAAAAAAAAAGACGCAATTGTGTAATTATTGTGAAGGGTGAAAAATTTAAAAACAAACTTTCCCCATTAAGAAGAAGATGAGTAATGATGTTATGATGCAACAGAAAAGCAAGTAGGCATTTAGCCATTGGACCTCAAAATGGAATGGCTGAGTTCATAAGAGAAACCAAAATCTGAAGAGGTTCATGAATCATGTCACTCCTTAACTAACTCATTCACGAGATGTTTTCTTCCCTCATTCCATCACATCACCCTTTACCATTTCCTCTGCAATAATCATCTGAATTTTTTTGAAAGAATCAAAATTGTATGGAAATGTGTTTTCCATTTCCTCTGCAATATTTTATTTCATGACATTATTGGAATGAATCCGTAATGCTATTTATGAGCGAGAATGATATCATTCAAATATCATTCAAAAAAACATCACAAAGAAACATGGTGTGCATGTGTAGATTGAAATTAAACAAGTAATAGTCAAATTTGTTCTAAAACAATCATGAAAAATGACTAACTTGATAATTTTTGAATCCGGTATATAACTTTTATAAAGTTAGAGGTTTGATTTATAAAAAAAAAATTATAGAAAAGTCAATTACGAATCCTAAAAAGAAAATAACTTCGTACTCAAGGATACGTGAACCATTCAAAGTATTATAAGAAGAACAAAACAATATAAAAAATTCATCAAGGATCTAGTAATAAAATTATTCATCTTCTTAAAAAAAAAAAGTCCTTGCATAAGTTAGGTGTAGGCATGAAAATGATTATTTGCCACCCAATAAGTTAGAACAAAATCATAGCCAAACATTGCCTTCCAAATTTTCTTGAAGAGTGTGAATTGCCAGAATATATAGAAAACTGCATCAGTTATCAATCCCTTATCCTGAAATTGAAGCTGGCTAAGGTTTTTTAAAAGGATTAAATAATAATAATAATAATAATAATAATATCAATCGGTTGTCTGATTTTTTTTAAAAAAATTTTATAAAAAATTTATCAACAATTTGGTGAATATTGATGTGCAATCCAATGATGTTATTTCATATGAATAAAAAAATAAGAAAAAACACTTACAAATTGTTTTTGTTCTTAGATAAAAAAAATTGCAAATGCAAGGGAAGATGATATTTCACTACAGATAAGTATTTTCATGAATAGAACGTTACCATATATGTAACAATTTGAATTTTAACACAATTTGAATTTTAAGGTGGGGTTAATATAGGATAGGATGAGAATATATTTGGAAGAAAATACTTTATTTATTCTATAATTATAGGTATTTTCTAGCCAATTTACGTGCATTAAGACTAACTCTTCTTCCTCATCAATCTTCCTGAACAAACTAAAAATGCACTTCCCAAATTACTAGGAAATAAGACTCTAGTTTGATTGCTTAAGCTACAGGTTTGGACTCTATCGCTTGTTGACTGCCTTTGCGAAAAATGGCATATTAATGCAACCAACAAATCAAGCAAACCCCTGAAAAACCAAAACGCAACTATATATACTCACTCTTTCACCACCAAATCCCATTCTTGATAATTGCTTTCTGCTATTGCTTGACATGGCAACAACTACTCTCTTTTCTCCCCCACTTTCCCATTATTACTTCCCTTTCCCCTAGCTACTCACTATCACATCCATCCTCTTGTTATTTCATCTTGGATCTTACATGAGAAGATGAGGAGATGTAATGCAGCCAAGGATGACTTGCCGATTCAAAACTTACCATATATAAATATATCATTCTGGTTTTCTTCTACGATTGTGATGATCGGCTCGGCAAGTTGTCTTTGGCTACGTTTCTACTCCATTTTCACATGTTAGATCTATATTTGATGATTATTGATCATGGACCTACAAGACATGAAGGCTAAATGTGATCGCGTTGATCATTGTAAGTTTAATCAAGTACATCAAATTCACTTTCAAAAAATTTTCTAAACTCTCAATTGATTTTAAGTGTCATTTAATACAACTTTTAGAGTAATAAATTTGTAAATTGAAGTTTTCAATAACACCATCTTTAATTTTATAGGTTAAAGTAAAAATTAATAAGGTAACAAGAGAAGTGAAATATTCTGTTATTATTGTGGAGTGTAAATTGAAAATGAAGCTGCTTGATTTGATAATTATGCATTCACTCCTTAGTTTTTTCATCATCAAAATATTAAAATTAAGGCAATTGATAATCAATATTCAATTATATAAAATTGAAACGTCATTATCTTGTGTTGGCTTTAATAACTATTATCAATTGCTGCTTACAAAAGCAAAAGCATTAAACCAACCTAATACCCACTTTTAGTTGTTTTTCACTATTGCTTCCATTAGGAAACTCCAAATTTGCTTTAGTGTACTATTTCATATGCACACTCACTTTGTTTCTACTTGTTTCAGCTTAAATTCATCATCAAAAACCAATTTGATACAGCTTCATGAAGACAGGAACAATGGAAGCTGGGGAAACATCAATGGATGCAACCTCAAAAAAAGAGGTAATAATTAAGGTAAATCTAGAAAGATGGATGTCAATAGCTGACCTTATGTTGAGAGTTTTTGCAGCTATTGCAACATTAGCAAGCGCTATTGCCATGACAACCACTAAACAAACACTTCCATTTTCAATTCAATCTTTCCTGTTCAGGGCTGACTATAAAGATTTCCCCGTGTTCAAGTAATTTCCTAAATTTCGACTAGTTCTGAAAATTCAAGTGATATATATATATAACAAATGTGTTATTTTTATGTGATGTGATGCAGGTTCTTTGCGATAGCAAATTCTATTGTATGTGCATATCTTCTTCTATCTCTTCCTTTGTCCGTCTTTCTTATGATCAGGATCAAGATGAAGATTATTAGGATCATTTTGGTCGTATTTGATATGGTAATACTTGTCCTTGAATGCTTGTTTATTAATCAAATACTACTATGGTATCAGAGCCTTATCAATATATATATATATATATATATATCTTTTGTAAAAAGGTTATGCTGGTAATTCTGAGTAGCGGGGCAGCGGGTGCAACAAGTATTGTCCAATTAGCAGAAAAAGGGAATAGTAGAGCAAACTGGGTTGCCATTTGCCAGCCATTCAGATTCAGGAGCTTCTGCCACAGACTATCTGGATCTCTTGTTGGCTCCTTCATCTCAATTGTCATTCTTATGCTAATTATTATAGCATCAACTGTATCCCTGTCTCAGCTCTAGCCCTCTACTGTATTGATATATCATTACATGAATGTTTTTCATGTACTCGTATCTCCAATTTGTGTCCTCTGTTTTTTCCTGTTTAGGACTTTTTTTTTATTATTTTAATTATCTAATGTCTAAAACCTATTGGTCAAACTAATCACGGATTGACACTGGGCATGCCTATGAAGAGGGACAAAACTCTCCATCGGATTGTTTTAAAGGAACTACATATCTAGATCTCGATAAATCTAATCATACCAAAGATCGAGAACTCAAAATCTCTAAGGAAGAGGAGATTCCTACATCCCATCTCATCCGTGTAGTTTCCTTTTTAAGATTTTAATTTGCATCGAGCATGAAATGCAGTATTAGTTATATAACTGTCACCAATAATTAAGTTCTTAATAATTCAACTTCTTTTGTTGTGTTCATTAAGGTTATTTTAGATAAAATATAAAATTGTTTGATTTGTTTACCGTATCAAATTATATGATAATGTTGAAATTTAGTAACAAGTTCAATAATCATGGATGAAATTACACAATTTCAATAGCAAAAAAAAAAAAAAAAAAAAAAAAATATTCATGAATAATGTTGAAAAATTTTAGTAACCAAGTTCAATAATCATGATTGAAATTACACAATTTCAATAGCAAAAAAAAAAAAAAAAAAAAAAAAAAAAAAAAAAAAAAAAAAAAACAATAAAAAAAAATATCTAAATTTAATTATATATACATATAAAACCCAATTTCTTTCTCATTCAACAACAATCCAAACATATACATATACTATGCCAAATATGCCACAACATTATCTATAGACTTCAGTGTCTTCTCATAGTATAGATAAGATTCATATACCTTCGGTGAGCGAACAAATTCATCAAGCTGAAAAAAAAAAACATAAATTATCACTAAACTTTATTAATTTTTTGGTTTAAAATTAAAAAAATTACTAAAACATTATAATTAATAACATAATTAGCAGTAATTAAGTACTTACCCTAGCCATATTTTCAACCAAGTCATTAGCCAACTCTACATACTCTCTGTGACGGGCTTTAGGCAAAGTCTCCATAGCAATTTTCAGGTCTTTAGAAAGATAGGATTGTTTTAGCCTTATATAGAATATAACATACCTCCAAGACATTGTCTCTAACATGTCTCTAATGCTATGTAACCCTTCTGCAGTTTGTTTAATTCTTGCAACTGAATCTTCCGGCGACAAGTCCGGCTCGAAAAACCTTTCCCATAAAAATGAACGGACGCCCCAATTCTCTGCCATTGCTCCTGAAGAAGGCAATAGTGAAACGGTGGTGCCTAAGATTGTTGCTATTATGATTCTTCTTTTGCTATTGGTTATGGCGTTTTGGTTTGATGAAGCATTTGATGCTTTGATCAGAGGAAATGAGTAGTTGAAGTTGGTTGTGTTGTGGGTATGGAGGAGATTTGTTGAAGTTAGGGTGTTAGTGAAAGTGGTGCTCATTATCATCGCCATTGTTTTGCTTTGGATAAGATAAAAGGGAGTGGATGATTTCAAATTTTGGAAAATTTTTTCTTACCTCTGTTTGGTGGATTGCATATGATGGCATCTAACTTGTGCCTTGAAACTTTGACACGTGGCACTCTTTTTATCATCGCCATTGTATTTGTTGAAAATAGGAAATTAATGGGTTATTTCTTTTTGAAAATTACTTTTCTCCGGGTACGTTGCAACATTTATGACCCACGATGAAAAATCTTATTCTTTTAATCTGATCTGGTTTATAAGTGAGATCATGAATCCGTCTAGATAAAATTTTTTTTTTTTAAATACTATTTATATCAATTTAGTCAAAATACTCTTTTTTTTCTTTTTTAATCTTGAGGGACTGTTGAACAAATTTTTAAAGAATAACGTTTTATAATGCTGAATAGGGTCTTAATAAAATAAACCAAACAAACATTAACATTTGATGATTAAATTATTAGCTAATACTATGCTATTATACCATTTTGTTTTTGAAAATAACTTTTGATTACTTTTAATGGCGACTTAGAAAAATACTTTAACCAATCAAATAAACCATAAAAAAAAATTATAATGTTCCAAAAGAACCACCAATCAGACTCGACCATGCTTAAGAAGTGGTGAAGTCGCAAGTCGCAACGTGCGATTCAGCAATCACAATACACCAAACTTCTTCTTCCATGGCGTCTCTGTGGTGACTGTTGATTCTTCGAAAGTATCGTCTTCTTTCCTAGCCATCTCTGATAGTTTAGAGTCTTCCTTCTGTCTTCTGCAAAAGCAAATGAAACCCACCAATTTTTTCCAGTAAAGCCACAAACTTTACCTGGAAAACTGCCTCTTTCTTTTTTTTTTTTTTTTTTTTTTTTTTTTTTTTTTTTTTTTTTTTTTTTTTTTTTTTTTTTTTTTTTTTTTTCCGTCGGAAAAATCCCTTAATGGGAAATTGTGGCTTGTTCGATCTAGAAGAAGCACTTTGCATTCTACGGCGGCGTATCATAGTAACCGATAAAACATAAGCGATTCATAGATATTTTTTTTTTTTTTTTTTTTTTTTTTTTTTTTTTTTTCCGTCGGAAAAATCCTTAATGGGAAATTGTGGCTTGTTCGATCTAGAGAAGCACTTTGCATTCTACGGCGCGTATCATAGTAACTCGATAAACATAGCGATTCATATGATATTTGTTTGGCCAATCTTTTTCACCACTCTTCTCATACTTTACTTTACTCCTTCTCTGATTAATCTGGACTTCTCTCTGTTTGGTAACGAGTTTATTCTGCTTTTCAATTTTGGATTCTTGTTTGCTTTGATCTATGCTCTGTTTTATATATGTCTGGATGCGAAAGCTGGTTCCTTGGCTGCTTTGCTTTGCTGTTTATGTTGGGTGACTAGTAGTTTTTTGGCTGCTTGGCTCGGGTTTTCTCTTGCTTGGAAGGTAAAAATTTTGTCTTTATATTATTTTTTTATTATGGATTTAATGTGGGTATCCTTTTTTTTTCTCTTTTTAATCTAAATTTATTTTACATTGGACTGTTCACCATTTCTGAATTTGTTCATGTAGAAATTATATAAGCTTTTAGGAGAATTATGTTTGGGTTTTTGAATCATCATATTTGATTGGTGCTAATGATAGATTACAAGTTTTTGGAAATAGAAAATTGGATCAATGGTTGACCATAACTTTCGATTCACAGGCCTTTAGCTCATATATAATTTTATATTTCTTTTAAATAAGGCTTCACTATAATGGCCATAACTATATGTTTATTGTTCCTTCCATTTTTCTGTTCGACTGGAATACGCCGTTGAATTTTTCAAAAACAAAAGTGGTAACTTTATTTGCTTGTGCCTTCATGATGCAATTTTTCAGTTTTCACTATTTTTATCCAATGGAATTTTTCTTTAATTTTGTTTCATTTTTTCTCTTGAACCATGACCATTTGTTGTCATTTTAATATTATTACAATTTTATTTTTCATTTTGTCAAAATGTATTTTTAATAGAATGATTTGATTTTGATTCTAGCTTGTACTTCGAAATATGAATGCACTAGTTAGATTTGAGGTTAGAAGTCGAACATTTGGTGGTTCCTTACTGGTTATGTTTTGCTGTCTCTGAATTTGCCCTTGTCTGTCCAAGATGATTATTTGTTATTCTGATGTGGTTTTCATGATGTTTGGTGGCTAAAGGTATCTCATTAAATAGCTATCTATATACTTCCTATTTTGGCTTGTTTTTGTTACTTCCTCCATCAACCAATCTTACTTTGCTCCTTTAGTTTCAGGGTGGTTCTGTCTGGAACCATGTTCCTTCATTTTCACCTTTCATCTTGGTTTTTATGCGTGCAATAATTTAAGCTGTGTTTTAAACTAAGTTGTAACTTAGTTTAAAACATAAGCTAGGGAGATAATGACATTTAGAGTTGTGTTTGTCAAGATAAGTTTGGCCTTGCAAAATGCAGTTATGGTCATACTTGATTTTTTTCAGTAAGTGAAGGTAGATTTAGTCATTGTGAAGCATCTTGTTGCTTCTAGAACTTTTGTTGAGGTTTCCATATGGAATATAAACCTCTACCAAAAATTTAAACTCAATGAGATGCTTCACTATGATTGCATCTACTTTCATTTACTAAAAAATCAAGAATGGAAATAAAAAGATTCATATGGCCCCCAAGTAGTTTGTGATTAAGGCTTAGTTGTTATTGTTTATATGAAATATAGTTTGCATGCTTTAGTAGCAGATCTTTATGTGGTAGAATGGTTAGTGGTTAAATCCTATTTTCTTTCTTTATTTGGCTATCTGAAAGTCAATAAAAAGCAAATTAATATGTTATGAACAGCTGCAGGACCAGAAGTAACACTGGTTCCCTGAATTTCTGTTGGGTATATAATTATTTCAGTTCTTCCTTTTTGAAAGATCTTAATTCATAGCTAATCCTTTGATCAGCTGTGCATTACGAAAATTAAATTAGATCTATTCACAATGAACATACATTATATTGTGGAATGCATATCATATTCCATATTTGGATCACTGTTTTCCTTTGCAATATTACCAATGCTTTGAGAATTTTTGACTTTGGAGTTGATAAGAAGGTTTTAGAATTATTGCAGTAAAGTTAACTGTCATGTAATCTAAAATAAATTATTGTTCTTTCTATGCCATAGGGGATATTGAGATTGAGATAGAATTGATACCATGGCTTAATGAGGCTAACATATTTTTAGCAAATAAATGAGATAGACATGATGAAAGTAGTTAATCTGGAGTAAACCAATTTTTAGATATTGACACTCTAGAAGGATAATGTAAACTGATATGGAGATTCACTTGCTTTGTCAGATTGGCATAAAAAATCTTAAATCAACAAAATTATTGCTTATCTTGGATTGCGTGAAAGCATGTATATTGACTATTGGATCATTTCCTTCTAAGAACATCTCTACACTGTAAATTGATCACGTTGTTGGGGAGTGTATGTGTGTATTACATTGATTTGTGTGTCAGGTAATTTCATCACGTGAGAGGGCAACCAGTCTCATGTGTTCCGCTTTCACCTTTTGTTACTCAAAAGCATGACCCTGAGACAGGGAACATTTTTGTTTCATTTGGTTTTATCTGTACCTAACATTTTGTAGGCATTTGGTATGGCTTAAACATCACCATGAGACGGGAGTAACATTTTAGTTCGTTTGATTTTATTTGTGCCTAACTTTATGTAGGTTTTTGTGGTGGCTCAAATTGTTTGTTGGACTGGACAGTTCATTGGCCATGGGGTATTTGAGGTAATTTGTTCTGTGATTTGTAAATATAGTTTAACAACTTTGCATTCTATCTCTTTTTGTGTAATGTCATCAAATATCCTGCAGAAACGAGCGCCAGCTCTTTTGGACAACCTTCTTCAAGCTCTGATAATGGCTCCCTTTTTTGTACTGCTGGAGGTAATTTTGTAAGCTTCATGATATTATAACACTCTTGATCTGAAAAGTTTATCTTTTTCTTTCCTTCAGGGTCTTCAAACCTTCTTTGGTTATGAACCATATCCAGGTTTTCATGCAAATGTTCAAGCGAAGGTTGAGACTGAAATCAATGGGTGGAAAGAGAAGAAGCAGAATTTAATTGTGTAATTTGAACTGTTGTATGTCCACAATTAACGTTATTGATCAGTATAGTTCCTGTTGCTGTAAAAAATTTGTTATGTAACGATAGTAACTATAGAAAATGCACTTAAGAACCATAAATATGAAATACAAGGATACAACTGTTGTTGCTCCAGGAAACTCTCAAGTTCTCTCAATCTGATTGGTCTACGTGCAATTTACCATTAGTGATCATGAAAATTTAATGTGATTGTTTCTGGAACTGTTATCACTAGCAAATGCAGTTCCAATTCGATGTCAGGGTCCTGTAGAACATACAAGGAAAAAAAGTGACGCAATATTTGTAAGATCTTTTTCATCTTGGAACAATTTATTGCTCACTGTTTCAACAACTTGATTTTTGATTATATTAGAATGAATTAACAAGAACATCATTTTCTCTAGTTGTATCTTATGAGCGCCTGGACACTCTAAGCTTCAAGCCATGTGCCATCGATAGAGTTGTCATCATCCTGTATTTCACGGGATGATTTGGGACCAAATGGAACTTGAAAAATCTGCAGAGTATAGCCAGTGTCATTTTCATCTGCAGATATGCAGAGTCTTTACCGAGGCATATCCTTGGTCCAGCCTTCACATAACATTGACGGAATGGAAATGTAAGGTTAGTCCCATTTATTTTCAAGAAGCAATAGAATTAAAGCTTGTAAGTTTCTCTTGCAAAACTTACTTGAAATGCAGTGAACTTGAATGGAGATGCATTCTGGAAGATACCATCTTTGAGCCATCTCTCAGGCTTGAATGAAGCCGCATCAGGTCCCCAGTTATACTCCATCCTACCCATTGAGTAAGGTACGTAAGTTACCATTCCTCCAGCTTTTACTCTGGTTCCATCAGGCAAGATATCATCTTCCATAATGCCTTTGGGATCCTACAATCATTCAATATCAGCTCAATGTTTGTTTATCGTTGACATGATTATTTCACGTTGCATACTTCTTGTCCCAAAAACTTTCAGTTTTGGACATATCTCAGTCTGACACACATGCATGTCATGTGCTAATTTTTAAGAATAGACATAGTCATATGCTACCCTTTTTTCATAGATAACATGCTATGAGTCTTGAAGCTTAGGGTGCCTTGTGGTGGTGTTGGTTGCCCCCCCTCTCCATGGGAAATTATTATTCAATATACTCAGGGCACTAAAATATATGAACAATACAAATATATCCAATCCACTTGAAGTTGTGAAAAGTGAATCCCACATTATGATTGATGTGTACCGAATAATTTCTCATTCACTAATTACTAACTCTCCCCTCTTACAGTACTTAACCCATACTACAAATGGGGGAGAAATAAGCATACCTGAGGGACTGCTGGGTACAAACGGAGTGTCTCGGTTACAACTGCGTGCAAATAATATAGTTTGCCTAATGAATCATATGTCAAGAGTCCTGCATATTGCATTATTCTTTGAGTGAAAGATTCAAGATCATCCAAGTCAAACTGAAGCAGCATAACATTCTCTTCCTTTGCCCTCTCTTCCTCAAAAGTTTTCAACTCCATGTAGAGCTTCTCAGCTATATCGTTATGTGTCATTATCATGTAAATGGCCCAAGAAAGAGTTGTTGCTGTTGTATCTCGGCCAGCTATCACGAAGTTGAGGACAACATCTCTCAGACTTTTATCTGTGAAGTTGTTTTCTGGATCTTCCCCCAACTCAATGAACCTTGATAATATATCATGTTTGCCCTGAGTATATATACAAAATTTATTTTGATTAGTAAAAATCTTGCTTCTTGTGTTTGCTTTTTATCATTCTAGCGCAAGAAAGCTTACCTTCTCATGACCGATCTTTCGAGCTGCTTCTATTTCTGCTTTCCTTTTATAAATGACGGAGTAAGTGAAATCATCAATGATTTTGATACTCTTATCAAGTAAAGCTTCTGATCCCACATTGAGGAATTTCTTTATTTTCCACAATGGATCAATGAAACGAAGAGTAACAATGATGTTTGCAGCATCAAAAGCCTGAGCAAAGCAATTATCCGGTAGATTGGGAGCCAATGCTCCTATTTCCACTCCAAATCCCACTTTGCATATAGAGTCCAATGTCATCCTCATTAACAATTCCTATAAAACACATGTTTAATACATTTATAGGGCTTATGGAAGGATGAACGCGAAAAATTTACAAGATTTTTCCTTCTCTCTCTCTTCCTTTTTTTTTTTTTTTTTTTTTTTTCCAATGCTCCTAAGTTTCCATCCAAAATCCCACTTTGCCATATAAGAGTCCAAATGTCATCCTCATTAACAATTCCTATAAAACACATGTTTAATACATTTATACGGGCTTATGGGAAGGATGAACGCGAAAAAATTACAAGATTTTTCCTTCTCTCTCTCTTCCTTTTTTTTTTTTTTTTTTTTTTTTTTTTTTGAGGCATCGGAGAGTGGGATGGAACTTGGGTCTAAGCCCAAGTCGTATATTGGTATTTACCTTTTTTTTTTTTTTTTTTTTTTTTGGAGCATCAGGAGAGTGGGATTGGAACTTGGGTCTAAGCCCAAGTCGTATATGTATTTACCACCAAGCTACACCTGCAAAATTTACAATATTTTTCACATCTCACCTGCATGTCTATTTCTTGGTTTTGAAAAGATGCATTACTGAGAATAGATGAGAGCTTCAAGCTGTATTCCCTAAAGACTATGGTGCTGAAATCTCTTAAATTCTTGGATGCAAACTCAAAACTTGCAGTCTTCCTTTGTCTCCTCCATAGTTCACCATCAGCATTAAATATCCCATCTCCAAGCAGCACTTCCATATATGAATGATAAGTCTCACCCTTTAATTGATATTAATTTCCAATATTACCAAAGAATAAGTTTAGCACAAAAAGAGACTTCATATATATACATATATGTGTGTGTGTGAAAATATTGAACAGATAAATACACGTTTGAGTGCTGAGAATTATTACCTTTGGATAATTGGAAAAGTTGGTCTTAAGGACATGTTCAACACTAGCAGGATCTGCAATGTAAGTATATGTTGTGAATGGCATTGGAACTACTACAGTTCTCAGCTCAGACAGGTAGGCAACAAGCCAATCATGCATTCTATCATAGTTCATAAACTGCTCAATTGCTGCCCCTATTATTGGCCATGTTCTTGGTCCTTTTTTGTTTCTCTTTCTCCATTGATGGAGAAAAATGCATGACAAGGCCAAGCAAGCTATCATCGATATTCCCATTTCTTTCTCCATTAGTTATAAATCCTAAATGACAAAATTATGTAATCCTGTTGATAGAAAATATCTGAATGTAATTGTTGCTTATAATGTGAATGGAAATGGTAAAGAGAGAGTTGGTTGAAAAACAGGTTAGTGTGAAGTATAGAATGATAATTTCTTTTTTCTTTTCTTTTTATCACAGGCTTTGTATGTTCTAGGATACTTGAAAATGGGATTTTCTTGTTTCTTGTTTCTGTTTCTTTTATTTTTATCACAGTCTTTACATGTTCTGAGATACTTAGATTAAATTGCTTCACCTCCTTTTAGTCCTTGACCTAATGACTCATTCAAACAAGCAACTAACAGATAAAACTTATTCAAATGGGATTCCATTTTCTTGATGCTAATGTGGAATTAGAATCTTCAATCTTGCATCTGACTAAGCCATTAAGATTTGTCGCTTTGGATATAAATCACTATCGAAGCTTTTAAATAATAAGAAAAAGATTAATCTCATGCATGCACCAGACTCCTATTTGCTTCGCCCAAATCGCTTTTCCACACTATTTTTTGACCAGCGTCCAAATCATTCAATTATTTATTTTTAGATAAGTAACACAATAGCATTTGCTAATTACTGGTCTAAGGCTGCAGAGAATCGTACAAGATCATTCCAACCGCGCAAATCTCAGGTTCAAATCTCACCGTAATTACTTGATTCCACATTGGATTTGTAGAGATTAAAATTAATACAAAGAATCTCCATTCAATCAAAAGTAAAAACAGCTTTAATAGTGAATGTAATGATATGTACAAATTCAAGCTTGTCCTATGTTTTTAACTTTTTAAAGTTGAATATTGAGTGTACAATATTGGCCTTGCCTATCTAATTCACAATTTTTGTCTATTGTAACATTGTGTACCCTTTCACAAACAATTTTTAGATGTTCTGAACAACTGTCATTCCCCAGTAAATCCAAATTTCCTTTTGAGTCAAAGCCAGGCAAATCACTGAAATTCATAGACCATTGGATTCATTAACAATGGCTGGTTCAAAACGCTACTCTGATTAGCCTGGAATTTCCCAGAATCTGTATATTGGGAATTCATTTCTCCTAGCTGAAATTTTGCCCCTTGGTCAGTCAAAGCATTACTATTGCCAATGAAGTTTTGGAACTCAAAATTCGAATTGTATGAACCGTTGTCATTCAAAAGGTGAGAAATTGATCCCATATACTCAAATTCCAATAAATGGGTTAGAGAACATGTCCTTGGAAATTTGAATAGTTGTTGCTCACTAGCATCACTGGTATCAGGTAAGTCCGTTTGGGTACTTGTATTTTCTATTTTCTCCTCCAAATGTCTTCCTACATGCCTTTTCTTATAAATCCTACACAGGACCCAATCATCCAACTGAAAGCACCAAAACAAGAAAAAACAAAATCATAGTCAATACAAAATCCTTAGATTAGAAGGTAATAACAAACCAATTCAATAATGTCAGAAGGGCTTACTCTCATGGACCCATTATGCTTGTTGGCTTGCTTTCTTGAATCATTTAAACGATATTCATGCATAATCCAATCAGTTTTAACACCCTTAGGTGGCCTTCCCTTGTAAAATACAAGAGCTTTCTTCACACCAACATATTTAGACCCACTATAGATGGCCTTATCTGTACCAGTAGCTTTCCAATACCCAGAAACAGTTGCTCTGTTAGGCCTCACTCCATTTGGATACTTCCTATCACGAGGGCTAAAAAAATACCATTCGTTTTCACCAAATTCTGCTTTCTCTGCATCACAAATCAATATTATAAATCCCAAGAATAAATCCATAAAAGTTTTAAAAAGGAAATTCAGGAACTGGGGTTTTGGGTATTATATACCATAATTTAGAAATTAATTAGTAGTTACCAGGTAATTGCCAAGGGTCGAACTTGTAAATATCAACTTCTGGTATAATTGCTACAGGGCAAGGCTTTGATGAGGCTTGATTACGAAGATAATACACGACTAATTCCTCATCAGTTGGGTGGAACCTAAAACCAGGAGGAAGGTTAGAGCTATTTTTGCCTAGCATTTCTACTGCTCAAACAAAGACAAAATACAAGAAAATAATATAATAACAGGAAAAAAATATGGGTTGTCTTCTAATTATTATTTAAGTTAATGGGTTGTGTCTTGTTTGCGGTGGGGGTGGAGGGAGGAGGAGGGGCCACCCATGAGAAGTAGGCAGAGGAAGATGAGGGTTTTTGAAATGTTTGCAAGGAGAGGGCTATGGCTTTTATTTGTGAGGGTTTTTTGTCAGTTAGTGAGATCTATAGATTTGATTGGTAGTTTGATTGACTTCCACTTTTCCTAGGAATAGTTTTTGGGTAGGGCAATACACGTACGCACTTGTTAGATTATGACATTTTGTACCTTACTTGGTCGCTCAAATTATGTTTATCTACTATTAGTATTTCAATAGCATTTATCCAAAAGGGATATATATTTGTTCAAAAGAAAAATATCCAAAAGGATATCCAATGAGATATTTTCATTAAATATTTCAATATTTTAACAGAATTAACTTATCTGAACCGAATTTATAGTTTCATTCAAAAATTAAATTGATAAAATTAAAAAAAATTTTTAATCTTTATATTTCTTACCATATATTAAGAAAAAAAATAATAAAATATAAATAACTTTTAAAAAAATCTTAAGTTTCACTAATTTGATCGTAAATGATACAATAAAACTGATCTAGTCAAGTATTTTTTCACTTTTTCACTACTTTTTAGTTCATTGGATTAGGCTTCACTGAAATAATTAATCAAATAGAATTAATAGTATTTTAATTTAATTCCGTTTAAAAAATTCACTTTGATTTCGATTTTATTCAGATTTAAAAAAATCATAAAAGTCTATAAATTAAAATAAACCCTAAAAATTCAAATTGTTTATACTAATTTTATTAATTTGAAGCAAACCAATTCAGTATCCACCCTTATATTGCACTCTCCTAAAACCACGGGGCTTTTTTTGTTTTTCCCCCTTTTTCTTCCTCCTTGCGTAATGAACTTATCTACCTAATAATTGAAGGACATTCTCCTCCTAACTCATTGACTAGGATTATTTTAGAGAAAATTGATTTCCAAATGACATTTTTTTTTTTCAAATAATAAGAAAATTGCTTTTGCATTGCTTTGAAGTTAGAAGAAAATTTTAATTTCGATCTCATTGACTTTTTAAGTTTGTTCATTAAGCAGTGGAATTATTTGATAAATAATGTAATTCTTAGCCATTTTCAAATCATTGTAAAATTTTAATTTTAGTTATATTAAATATTTTTTTTGCTCTCACGCGGTCCAAATATGATTAGCTACACGACTAGGATGGTTCGCTTTTTAATTCACTAAATTGGTAAAAATTTTCATAGTCGAAAAAATTTACACTTAAAATCTTTTATTCGCATCTTAACGAAAAGACTAAAATTGACTATTAAATCATCTTCACGAGAAGACTAAAATTGACTATTAAAAAAATTTTTATATTTTTAGAAACATACGAGACAAATAAAATCTATCTAAACGTAGTTAGAGACGTATACAACAAAATTCAACAGAACATAGGCTTTTGTTGAAATTGTCAAAAGTCATATTAGAAAATCAAATTAAAGACCTTTCTATGTTAAGGGATTGTCACAATAGTTTCTAAACGCTAAAATAACTAATGAATAGTATTTTCAAACAAAAAAAAAAAAAATATAAAATTATATATTATTAAATGATAGTTTTTTGCAACTTGAGTGTGAAACTTCAAATCCTTATTCTTTTTTTTTACTTTACACAAAAAACAAAATTCCTTTTGCCCAATCAGTAACGGATATATGTAACCTATCAGCCCCAATTTCCTTAAGCACCACCGCGTCCTCCAACAATATATATATTATAATATATATATATATATATATATATATATATATATAGGATAAACATGGGAGAAAATTAAAGTTAATTATTTTCTTTACAAATTTTTAAATTATTATACCCAAATTCTTAGTTTCTGGTTCTTATCCAGCCACATCACCTAATGGGTCCTCATTGGTCCAACCTATCACCAATCCATAATTCTAATCTAATTTATTCAATTCTCAGTTAGTTAATTAATTAAGTTGTTTATTTATTTATCTATTGAATATTTTTAACGAGTCTCAAAATTATCTTATAAATATTCATTAATAATGCAAAATAAATAAATTTATTTTATCAATTAATTCAATAATATTAAAAATTATTATAATCAATTTTTTTAGCGTTAAGCGAGTCCATTTGGATTAAGATCAAAACTCTGTCGCGCAGTACGCCTTAATTTGTGCAAATCTGATATTGTTAGAATTATGTAGAACTAGAAGAGAAAATGATAATGACTGAGAATAGTAGAGAAGAGAATATTCTATGAATCCCAGCCTCTGTAAGTGGATCCCGCCAACCTATTCATATTATGGGCAAGGCGAGCCATGCGCGTGGGTTGTAGTAGGTGGCTTGTCTTTGTTGGCACGAGTTTTTTTTTTTTTTTTTTTTTTTTTGTCGTTTAGGTTGACGACAATTCATAGTCCGCGTGGTTATGGAAAACAAAATAAAATTTTCCTATATTCCAAATATAAAGCACTTATACACAATATTAATTAAAAGTTTTTTTTTTAAATTATTGTTTTTTTCTTTTCCAATAAATGGATACAGATATTCTATTTTTTTAATAAAAAAATATTTAAATTATTTTGTTATAGAGATGAGTCTATATAGTACATGTGAGTAAAAATATAATAACGAAAATAATAAAATTAATAACAATGCTTGCGCTGCTGGAATGGGTTTGGATAGAATTAATCATAATCCGTTGGAGTGGCGTAGTCCGTAGTCTTTGGGAGAGAAAATAGACGATAGTGATGCATGCAGGTGCTAGTTTTGGAAACAATGACACGCAATTACATGAATTTTTTGAAATATAATTAATTTTTTAAAATTTGGCATATTAAGTATAGAGGTTTAGACTTTAGAGATAGTAATATCATTTTAGGTAATTTTATGAAACTAAAATATTAGTTGAGGTCAAAATTGCCTAAACAGTATTTTAGATTTATTTCCTTAAGTGGCACACATGTGTTGATCTTTTCTTCCTCTTTTCATTTAAAAAAAAAATCTTATGTCCACATCATTTGTTGATTACAAAGGAAGTTCATTTTCATAATTTTTGATAATCTAATAACTATAAATATTTTTTATTTATGCTTAGCTTATTTCTGTAAAATAATTTGTAAGAAAATAATTTGCTGAAAAATATTTTCTATTGAAAACATTTTTCTCGAAAAATATTTTTTAAATGACTTATTTTCTGTTGATTGGTTGTAATATTGAAAATTAATTAAAAATATTAAAATCTTTATCTAATACGACCATAAAAAATATTAATAATAATAGAAATTTTATAATTATAATAGAAATTTATAATTATTTAAATAAATTTATTATAATAAATGAAAAAAAAAATTATAAAGCTGCCGTGGTGGTCGCGTAATAAAATTAGTAAAACTGATGGTAGTGATTGCGATGGTTAATTAAATTAAAAGAAATATGAAATTATAAGAATTTATATAATAGAAATTTTATAATTTAAAAAATTTATTATAAAAAATGAAAAAAAAAATTATGAAAGCTGCCGGTGGTGGTCGGTAATAAATAGTAACTGATGGTAGTGATTGCGATGGTTAATAAATTAAAAAAATATGAAATTATAAGATTTATCAATATCTAGAAAATGTTTTACTCTCTTGAAAATGAAAAGTTACTTTGCTTAAAAACGACTTAATTTTCCTTTGTAAAATGAATTTGAAATAATATAATTCATTTACATATAATAAGATTTACTTATTTTAAAAAATGAAATGGACATTTTTTATTTACATCAATCTGTTCAATGAATTATGAATTTTAAATACATTTTACAAAATCTTGTAAAATTTATTTATACTAATCATAGTCTAAGCACAACTACAAATTCACAACGTGGTTCTAGCAGCTGATTATGAGCCTGACATCAAAGATCAAAATTAAATATACTATATAAATATAAGACGAAATATACTATAATTTAATTTTTTTTTTCCACAAGTATTCCATATATTTTAGCATGTATGAGATTATTCTGGTTCTCTCTATTCATTAGTGTTTCTTTCATAAATTAAACTTCTTATGGATTAATATCAAAATAACTTTGATCAACCATTTTTGAGCAATGATTGAGCTTTAAAACAGTAATTAAGTCAATTGGCACTTTTACAAAAAATGGGTTTCCTTTCGCATACAAACTATCCAATTTCCAGTTAATCCAGCCAGGTACTCAGGCCCAGACAGATCTGAAAGCATATGTAAATAACTGGCGGGCCCATTACGAAAACAATTTAGCGTTGGCCCATTAGAACAGTTACCGGCTGACGCCAAAGGCCCAGAACCTAGTTCCTTTTTGAACCGCAAACACCAGTTTTAATTTTCGCGGAATGAAATAACAAGAAATAAAATTTATCATTGCAAAATAAATATTTATTCTTTAATATTTATTTGAATAATAGAAAAAAATTCATAAAAGAATTTATATGGTCACATATTTATTATTCTATAAATTATATATTTAAATTGTATACCAAATAATTATTTAATAATGAAATAATATAATATTTAAATTATTTTATAATTATTTAAATTTGTTTACCGAATAAGAGATAACTATTTAATAAGAAAAATTGAACAAAATTTATTTATTCCTTCAATCGCAGTAATATATAGTCTGTTCGAAAATTAATTTTTATATAATTATCATCCTAACTTTATACAATAAAAAAGTAAAGTTTAAAATGTTAACTATTAGAAATTATTATTGGTAAAATAATAAAATATATATTTTTAGAATTTTTGTTAAAAAGTTAATTATTTAGTGTAAATTAAGGTCATAATTATATAAAAATTAATTTTTAAATGAATTGTAGAATGGTGCTCGAGCTAAGGGTAAAATCGAGCCTTTTTTGGTTTCTAATAAGAAAAACTATTCCATTCCACCGCATTTTATGTTATTCCTTCGACCAAACGGGCTTACATATAAAACGCATGCAATTTGTTACTACCTGAAAATTCATCGCTATGCTTAGGGTTTCTGTCATCTAATAGGAATTTGTCTTGCCGTCCATATCTGTGCGTTCTCATCATCTCTAATCTTGTATTTTCGATTCTTAAATCCAGCCTCTTCATTTTCCAGTTTGATTATATCTTTACCGTATTTTAATTGCAGGTTCGTAGTACTCCGTTATTATATGGTTTAAACATGTATTCTTCAAGAGGCAGCAGTGCCTACGGGCAGCAACCGTATGGTGCGCAATCTGGCTATGGTCAAAATGTAAGTTCCTTATTATAAGAATTACAGTTTTGATTATCTTTTTGGAACATCTATAAACTGTGTATTGATGGGTTGTTTTATTTATTTATTTTTTTACTATTTGGTTGGGAATCTATACAATTGGGTTAGGAGTTGAGTTCATTACATGGTTTTGATTATCATGAAATTTTGCGTGTTAATGAGTTAATGAGGTAATGAGTTAATGATTTAATAGGGAGATGCACTGGAATTCGAGAGTTAATGAGTTTTTGTAGATAAATGGTTTCATTTTGCTTTTAAAATTTTGTCCTTTTATAGCTGGGATCTGCGTATTCTGGGAGTTCAGTTGGAGGGCCTGATGGAGGCTCACAACATTCGCTGGCTCCTAGGCATACATCAATTCTTACTGGTTCACAAGAAGCAGATGTTGGTGGTGGGTACAGAGTTTCCGCTGCACATTATGGGGGACAATATGGGTCTATATATGGCTCTTCTTCCATGACTGGTGCTCAACAGGTTGGTAGGCTGTGTTTCATTTTTTTAGTTTTTGTCCAGAATGTTCCTTGTACGGTTGTACCTCAACATCATCTTATTCTATATTTACTTCCATGATAACCTTCAATCTTGAGATTGTTTTTTGAAGATTCATTTGCACCTTACTCTTCATTGTTTTGCCTCTGTTTTTTGCTCAATCAGCCTTATTTACTTCTAATTAGCTGCATTGCCCTTGAATCTTTAGATAATTTCCAAAGTTGATATAAGATGACAATTTATAATTATATGTTGGTGGACCCTTGGAATTCAACCTAGGAAAAATGCTTTTGGTCTTACAATTAAGTGTATTATGGATAATGCCATCCAAACATTTATATTCTTTCTTGCTCTCCCCCTGATATTGTGGCTAGGATTTAACTTAGGTCCTAGAAATTTAGTCTTTTTTGTGCTATGTTTTAATTGGTGGTAAATTATACCCTTAACTCATGCTGCTATAAATGTATAAGGTCCCATTTGAAATTTTTGTCTTGCGTAGGTGTCAACTATGAGTGCTAAAGGGACGGCAGCATCAGCTCTAGAAGGTCGTGGTGGCTATGCTTCAGCTCTCCCTGATTCTCCAAAATTTACATCTGGTGACTATATTCTATCATCTAGTCATGGATATGGTCACAAAAATGAGCAATTATACACAGAGAAGATGCATGATTATCAAACAATAGACAGACGTCAGTATGGGGAACGACAAAATGCTTATATTGGGAGGGACATTCAAAGTGATCCAGCTTCAAGATATACTGATTCTGTTGGTTTTAGTCATCAGCATCAGGTGTTGCTTATATGCTTTCCATTTTTTTATTCCCTATATTTTCATGTTGCACTTTTCAGCACGTAAATATGTATGTTAATTATACAAAAGTGAAATTCAATGATAAAATTTTTTCAACATTACTCCGGTTATTATTATGATGCAAAATTTAATTTTATATTAAAATTGTTTTCTGAAAAAAGGTATTGACTAATTGTTGTATTGATTATTGAAATTAATTCATGCATAACACATATTAAACGAGTATAACTATTATTTACAATTAAGAATGCTCTTAGTTATTTAAATTTCCTTTAATTATGCCATATTTTTGTTACAAGACAGACACAATAGGTTCAGGAATACTATGACCAAACTCAAAGTTTATTTAGAAAATTATGGGATATATTTTATATTATTTGATCCCAAACTAATATTTAATTATATGAACAAAGTTAAAATTACTATATAAAATAATCAACTGAATTTCAATTATAAGGACAATTTTATTAAGTACAGTTCATATAAATAGATTGAAATTTCTCGGGGGATAATGTCTTGATCAATTGTAGAAATCTGTAATCGGTTGATTGTTTCCCTGTCAAGTTTTTTATGTATTTAATGCGTTAGACAGACTTGCCATAGCAGCATCATAATGTCTTCAAACAGCATAATGATCATTGATTTCGATTAATGAGAGGATCAAGCAAGGAGTTACTCATCTATATGCAAATGAACAAATATAAAATTTTTTATGTTATTAGATTTTGGATTTTTGCTGGTTCAGTCTCACACGAATTTTGATTCTTGCATAATCAGTCAATTTTATTTTATATACACGACCTCCATTCCAATGAATGTTAAACATATTGGTACTTGTATATACAGATTCTGCTACTGTTTAGTTGGTAATATTTTTCACTGTGACCATCATTTATCTTGCAGCCTGGGACATATGAACGCATTGAGCAAGCATCAATTCTTCGGCAAGAACAGTTACTGAAATCTCAGTCAATGCAATCAGCTTCTCTTGATGGAACTGCCAGGTATTTTTCATTCTTTTAAGTATTTATTTTATTATGTATCCAAATGGATCTAAACTATGCATTTGATGGCATATGGTGCTTGTAATTGGTTACATCTTTCTCCACACTGATGAACAGGCAAGGTCGTCCTTGCCATGTTATAACACATTAGAGCTCTCTCTTGTGGTGATAGTCTGTGCTAAGTTAGGTGGTGTAAACTTCATATATTGCACTGAGTAGCAACACATTTCTGGCAGACAAATTGATTACCTTGCAGCAAGAGGTGCTGCTAATCGCCCTTCTACCCAAGATCTTGTTTCTTATGGAGGAAGAATGGAAGCTGATCTTCTCAGTTCATCAATGCTTAGTGCTTCTTCATATAGTGGGCAACATGCTCCATCAATATTAGGTGCAGCTCCACGGAGGAATGTGGATGATCTCCTGTATCCTCAAAGTTCTTCAAATCCAGGCTATGGAGTTAGCCTGCCTCCTGGTAGAGACTATGGCTCAGGAAAAGGGCTTCATGGCTCATCTCTTGAACCAGATTATCGTGGTGGTCATTCAAGGATCGAGGATCGGAGGGATGATAGAGCTGGTTATCTTCGGGAGTTTGAGCTAAGAGAAGAGGAGCGCCGTCGAGACATTTTGCGTGAGAGGGAGAAAGAAAGAGAAAGGGAGAAGGAAAGGGAGCGGAAAAGGGAACGAGAACGAGAGAGAAAGCGTGAAAGAGAACGCATTTTGGAGCGGCATGAGAAGGAGAGAGAGCGAGAGCGGAAACGTGCACTTGAAATTAGGCGTGAACGAAGTCCACCAAGAGTCTCAAGGGATAGACGTGGGACCTCTTTGGGAAAGGAGGCCAGATGCTCGCGACGAGATTCGCCTAGTCATGAAGCTTCACATAGGTGGATCATGATGTTTCATTTGCGTCCTGCTATAGTTCTTAATTTATAGCTGCTTGTGTATGTTGCAGTCTTCGTAACTAACTAGCTGTTCTGTTATGCTGAAGGCGTCATTCACCTGTTAAAGAAAAAAGAAGAGAATATGTCTGCAAGGTAAAGAAAAAAAAAATGCAAGAGTTTAGTAATTCAATGATGATGAGAACTTTTACCTTGTGAAGAATCTGTTCCTTTCTTATGAGCTTCACTTCTGGAGTTGAGGGATCAATTGGATTCAATCACGATTCTTTTATTGTTGCTTCTGTTTGGGCCTGCCATTTCTATTCTTGGCTTAAGTCTTCCATCATGTTTGACTGCTTACTTCTTTTGAACCTTCTAAAATTCTCATTTATAGTTCTACAATTGGAAGACTTCTATTCTGGGCTACTTTTCCTTGGCTCTGGGTGTCTGTTTCTCGTTTGCTCTTGCCTTTTTTTTTTTTTAAAAACTTCATCTTGCCTCTCTCTCTCTCTCTCCCCCTGGCTCGGGGTGTCTGTTTCTCGTTTGGCTTTCTTTGCCTTTTTTTTTTTTTTTAAAAAACTTTCATCTGCCTCTTCTCTCTCTCTCTCCCCCCCCCCCCACCCCCTTTATGATGTCTCTATACCCCCCACCCCCTTTTATGATGTCCTCTATAATTTTTGGACTCACTGGCCATTCCTTATTGTTTATTATACTGTTGGGAGAAAACACTAGCTTCATCCAGAGATGGTGTTGCCAATCTCTTGTACAATTTCCAAGACTACTTTCAAAAAAATGTTGCCAGTCTCTTGTACAATTCCAGGATTACTTTTGTTACCATAAACTTGATGGACCCTATTTTGTGTAGATGGCCGACAGCGTATATTGTGGTCATTACTAGTGCTGATAATTAGGAATTCTTGCAGCTGCTGGTGTCATGCGAGGCATACCATATATTAAGTCATGCTACTTTGTTCTTTGTAACCTGAATTGTTCATTGATGAAACTTTCATTTGTGTTCATAATTGGTATTGTGTACTTGCAGATTCATGCATCGAGTTTAGCTGATATAGAGAGGGATTATTTATCAACAGATAAAAGATATCCCAGGCTATTTATATCTCCAGAATTTGCAAAGGTTTGAGGTTCTAATCCCGTCACCCTCCTTTTCCCTGATTTGAATGGATATTGAGCTTCGCGAAATAGAGGAAACTCTTGGCAAGATCAAAGAAAGAATCCGTTCGATGATTTTTAATTTTTTTTTTTGTGTTAATGTGGACATCAATTTAGGTGGTTGTGAACTGGCCAAAGGAGAATCTTAAACTCTCGATCCATACACCAGTAAGGTACTTTGATATTTGGTTATTTGTTGAAAAGGTTTCCTGATGTCCTTTTGAGTTTCTTTGAAATTCATACTATGATAACATTCATCTCATTTTTCGATTGAAAAGGACATACCCTTAATGCCTGAGTTGCTATTTGTCTGCAATATTTTAAATCTCTGTATTTATATATTCCTCTTCTTGTCTTGAGAATGAGCGATTTGGTGTTCTATTCTGAAATTTAAGAATCTTTTTTAAGATTGCAGCAGCCAAAAGGATAACCAGTTTTATTTTTTCACTTAAGAGGAAAAGAAAGTAATTTTCTAATAGTAGTTGAACATCCTAAATGCAACAGTTTTGAGCATGATTTTATTGAAGATGAGGGTGTAACAGAGGCAAAAGAGCTATCAACTAAGCTTTTGGCTGAACAACTGGTAAAATCAGAGCATGAGCGCACAATATGGAATGCAAAGGTAGGTTATTTGCTATTGATTATATCTGCATAAATGTTTGATTTGAAAAAGATCGTTTTGCTAGTATGATGTAAACTGGATTTTAAACAGCTTATTTCACTAGTGATTATGATTTTCTGTCTTTTCATATTTTTAACAGTTGATTGTGGAATCCTGTGTTGTGGTATTCAGTTGTGACCTTCTTTTTCTCTGGGAACATCAAGCGAGGAAGCTTGAGCTTGAATAAATTTGTTGTTTTCCGTGTTCCCTGCATACGAAGCAACTGCTGGCTGTGAACAGACAAGTTTTTAAGTGATGAGAAACTTTGATTCCTGCTGCTGGAGTCTTTAGCCTAGTCATTGGATATTGCGCAACTGAGCAAGAAAAAAATAATTAGGAATTGTATTCTTAGTTAGTTGGGAGGGCCTTCTTTCATATAGGAGTTGGGGTGTCCAAACCACTGACCCATTTTGGTTAGCCTGTTCAAGGGGAGTTCTGTTTATCGGTTTGAACCAAAATTACTGTTGGTTCGGCTTGGTTTGCAGAAATTAATCGGTTAGACTTAAAACCAAATTGATATGGTTTGCAGAAAGAACGACCGAACCAGTCAAGTTGGAAATGTTGGTTTGCATTTTCATCTTGGTTTGGATCGGTTTGAACTGAAATGACCGATTGCTCACCCATGTATAGGACTCTATTTTTGGTACTGATTATCCCCATTCTGTGTTGTTCGACAACTCAGTATTTTCCATATACTTTTTGACGCTGCTTAAACAACATACTGAATTTGGTCAGCGAAAAAAACTGTTTTTAATCTCTCATTGACCTTTTTGCTTATGAAATTTTCACCAAACACTGGAAACTCAGTGGGTGGCTTATCGAGCCCAAAAGTGGAAATGATTATTGTCAAGTAGGGGATCCAGACATTGGAATGATATCCTTGTGGGGCCTTTTTCATAAATAACTAGATATTGTATTCACTCAGACCATAAATCAATATTGATTTGTATCTTATTTTGATGGGATAATTACCCTAAAGTCCTCTAACTTAAAATGATATTTCTGTTGAGGCCTTCAACATGTTGTATTGCTCAATTAAGTCTATAAACTGCTGCATATGATTTGTGGTGATGCAAAAATTGACATAAATGGATATATGACGATGATAGTATACATTTTGGAACAAGATTGAGTTCTTTTAAGAGTTCAAGGACTACTTTAAGGAAAGGAAAAAGTTTTAGTATCCAATTGAAATATTTTTCATAATTTGGAGTATGCTTATTTATCCTTATTTAGTATGGAATAGAAGAATGCTTTCCATGGTAAATTATTCTTATAAACATCCTAAATTTCTGTCAGGGAAATTGATTTAGATCAATTATTCAAAAGCAACATGGTATTTGGGATTTTGTCTATAGAATTAGGCTAATGTGAATTTTGGTACTGAAGTGTGATGTTGATGTGGGGTGATACTACATGGGAAAGTGGAGGGAATTTTATGAAATGGTTATAGAACTAGTTATTCTTTTGGGTGCAGACAGTTGATAAACATGTCCATTAATGAGTAGCTGAATGAGGTTGTTAAGTTTGCCTTGTGGCAACTGAAATGGAATAGGATATGTTTTTGTGGAGAATCAGAAGTACAGGATAGATTCTCTGATTTTGTTCTACCAGGTTAAACATAGATCTGTGGGTTTATGTTGCAGAAAATGAGATGATTTCAAAGAGATTTGATTGTAGGTGCTGGGAAGGAGGTTCTGAAGGCAGACTTAATCATGCTGTTGGTTGAAGTATTGATGATGGAAAATTCTCTTCGTACGAGAAAGTAGCCATGGGTTTGATCTAGTGATCCAACTCATTTTTTGGGTTCGGATTAATTCGTAAAAGGAATATAATTCTATCCTATTGTTCTTTTTAAGAAAATAAAATGTTCCTCTGCACAGTAATAATGAGTTTTCTGGAATTTTAGATAGTTAATTATTTCTACATCTTTTTCAGTCTCCTTTTGTGTTATTGCCTCATTTCAGTTATCACTGATGCATGATGTTAGTTCTTTCGCACTTTTACTACCGTGGTTTGATAAATAGATGCATCAGCATTTATCTGCTTGGTAATACAAATTTTTGTCCCTGGTTCAGATAATTTTGATGAGTGGACTCAGTAAGAATGCTCTGGAAGAGCTGTCATCTGAGAAAAGCTATGATGATCGAGTACCACATATTTGTAATATTCTTAGGTTTGCTGTCCTGAAAAGAGATCGTTCTTTCATGGCAATTGGTGGTCCATGGGATTCTGCTGATGGTGATGATCCTTCAGTTGATGATTCTGTTTTAGTTCGGACAGCTCTCAGGTTAGCATTGTCTAACTTATGGTGAGTTGGTACATGGAATAACGATTCTCAATTCAACTAAAGTAAAATTTACCTTGTAGATATGCCAGGGATGTAACTCATATTGATTTGCACAACTGCCAAAACTGGAATCGTTTTCTGGAGGTATGATTTGGCTTCTTTCTCTGCTTACGTGAATTAGAATATTTTGAGTTTGTGTTTGATGTATCTGGTATAAATTCCATGCGCTGCTTGGTAATACTCAGTACGTGCTTGAAATCTGTCTATTTGCTTGGTTTGGTGCACTAGGAGATTTGATTGGAATTTTCTACTGAAAATATAAAGAGGTGTTTTGTTTTGTTGGGGGTTGGTTCTATGATTTTAGTTTGAATAGTGTTTGAATTAGGTTAAATTGGTGGCTAAATTCACAAATGGACAAGGTTGTTGGAAATATTCCAGCAGCAAGCAATATGGGACATTTTGAATTTATCTTAATTGGGAAATAAATGTAAATGATTTGTATGTTTAGAACTTTGTGATTTCAATTTTGAAGTTTAGGGATGGATTTGGCGGTGCTTTCCGCTGTTCACAAAACAGTGGTCAAGGCAGTTGTTAAAAGGTGGAGGTAGAAACGACTGGAGAAAATTCTATAAAATGCTTGGCTTCCAACAAAGTTAAAATTGACTGCTGCAGCAATGGTTTGGACTACAGTTTTAAAATTTTTATGAATAACTACTCAATTCTATTTGCATATAAAATTACAAATAATTTGTCAAATTAAGGTTGAATTGATAAAATTAAATGATTTGATAAAATTGATAATGCCTGAAAAGGTTTGGTTTATTTTGGTCATTTTTCTAGAAAAGAAAAGAAAATCGTGAAAATACTTTTGGTAGATAAAGCATACAGACAGAAAAATGTAATCTAGTTGCAGACTAACATAAAAAAGGGCAGAGTCGTAGACTGCGCAGAACACTTTCTGTTTGACCAAATTGCCATTCTGTTGGCATTTAAATCATAGCTTTAGCTCTAGGTTTTAAGTTGGATAATTCCTGATCTAACTAACCAAATAGGAAAACACCTTTAAGTTTTGATATTCATGTTGGACAGGATAATTGGTATTGCAACAGATATCAAGAAGTTGTCTAATGGCTGAACTTTTTCTTAGGTGTTGTCTCCTAGGATTTTTATTTTTGACAGTCTACCAGTTGTCATCAATTTAATGCTGAATGGATCTTTGGCCTCTATATGTTACTGCTGATTTTATTTGTTTTGATAACAAATTGATGAGATTAGCCTTGTTAAGTTGTTTAATTTTTTTATTCTTGTATGGTGTCTAGTCTCTGGGTTGCTTGTTATATATACAAGTCAGAAAAGCTGATTTTTTTAGACTGCTATTTGCTTGCACAGATTCACTATGATAGATTTGGCAATGATGGGTTCTTCAGCCATAAAGAGATCACGGTTCTATTTGTTCCAGATTTGTCCGAGTGTATACCTTCGTTGGATTCATGGCGCGACCAGTGGCTTACTCACAAGAAGACTGTTGCTGAGAGGGAACGCCAACTGTCTTTAAAAAAGGAGGTCTGTTCTTTTGTGCTGCTGTTTCCTCTTATTCTTGTTTTTGGGGATGTTGGGAATCTGATGACTTCTTAATGTTGCTGTTAAAGCATTTATATTCAATTTGTTGAAATATTTTTCCGCATACATGGAGCTCATGCATCCACTTGTAGTCTCATGTCTGTTTCCTTTTCCCCAGAGGTATAGAGAGAAGAAGGAAGGTCAGAAAGGTGAATGAAATATCCAACTTCTTTTACCGCAATACCTATGTTCATGATTATCAAATTAATATCACTATTCTTTCTACAATACAGATAAAGGGGCAGATTCTTCGAAGGATTCTAAAAAGGTGGAAAAATCAGAAAAAATCAAAGAGTCTGCATCCTCTAGCGTCAACAGTAAAGAGAAAGATGAGAAAGTTAAAGCGACTACACAAAAGGCTGATGAGAATGGGAAGAACCTTGAGAAAAAGGATGGGATTGAAACAGGTGAGGAAGTCAAGAATGTTGAGAAGAAGGAAAAAGGTGATACTGCAGGTGCTCAGACCACTGACTGTGTGAAAACTGGAAAGAAGAAGATTATAAGGAGGATTATCAAACAGAAGGTTGCTAATAAGACAACTAATGCTGATAATACTGTTAGCAAGCTGAATGATTCATTAGATGAGAAGGATGCTGGAGGGAGCAATGAAAAGTCCGAGATCTCCCCTGAACAGAATGAAGCTTCTACTGATCCTTCTGGAGTTAAAACTTTTGTTAGGAAAAAAGTTATAAAGAAGGTTCCATTAGCAAAAACCACTCAAACTGAAGATAAGGGCTTGCAGCCTGAACTTAAAGCTGAGAAGGAAGTGGACTCCTCTGGAGATAAACCCAAGGATAATTCAGAAACCAGTGGTGCCGCAGTTGTGCAAGTTACTGGTGCCAAAACAGCTGTAAAAAAGAAAATAATTAAGAGAGTACTTAAAAGAAAGCTGACCAGCGATGGGGCCAGTGGGACTAAGAAGGATGGTGAAAAGGTAGCTCAGGCAGGTAATGAAGCAGAAAATGTGGAGAAAGAAAAAATAGATGCAGAAGAAAAAGAGGTTCAAAAATCAGAAAAGAAAAACATTCCTAAGTTAAAATCGCCAACTGCAGAGAAACAAGCTAGCGTGTCCAATTTGAACAGAATGGAGATCAAGGTTGCCAATGAAGATAAGATGATGGATAACAAGGAAGCTGATGGGAAAAACGGGTCAGGGACTAAAATTGAGAGTAAGGCTGACAAGCAAAAAGATGCTCAAAGGGATATTCATGATGACAAGAGAGGAAAATCGAAGGATGATGAAAAATTGAAGGATGAGAAGAAAGAGAAAGATGGAAAAGATGATTCTAGGAGCAAATCTAACAAGGACGCAAAAGAAAAGAGAATGCCTGAAGAACTTCCTAGGCATCCTGGATTGATTTTACAAACAAAAGGGGATAAGGAAACTAAAGTATGTTGATCGTGACCAGAAAAGTGCCACACTTTATTACTGAAATCATATTAGAAATATTCTCCTTATACAACTAACCATATGTAACTTGTGTACCTGTACCTTTGACTACAGCTGCGCTCATTGTCACTTTCACTTGACTCGCTCTTAGACTACTCTGATAATGATATTGAGGAATCAACATTTGAGGTTTGTTTTAGTGTATTGCTTTCCATGTAGCCCTTGTTCTATGAATTCATACTGCATATAGTAATTTTACCTTTTCATTCCTTGTGTCAATATTTTTCTTTGCAGCTTTCATTATTTGCTGAATCATTTTATGAAATGCTTCAGTATCAGATGGGCTCTCGTATTTTGACATTTCTCCAGGTTCGTTCACACTGGTGAGTTCATCATGTATTACTTGATTCATTTAGTCAGAAATCCTTGTGTGTATTGGTTATGTGCAGAAACTACGCGTAAAATTTGTAACAAAACGAAATCAACGTAAGAGGCTACGGGAAGAAATGATAAAGAAAGATAAGGAGAGGAAATCACCAGCTAAACGCCTGAAGACCAATGAGCTTCCTGTGAAAGCTAAATCTGCTGACTCAGAATTGTTGAGCACTGATCAATCAGAGGATCAAAAAAATAAGAAAAAGGAAGATAAGGAAGATACTGCTGCCGATAAGGTTAATGAACCAAAGTTGGAAGAAGCAATTGATTATGAGGAAGACCCAGAGGAAGATCCTGAAGAATATGAAGAAATGGAGGATCCTGGAGATTACTTGGCTAACAAGGCAAGAAATGTCTTCTTTGTAAATATTTGAGTAGCTATTCTGAATTTACAAATATATTCTCTCGTAAAACAGAATATTGTATGAACTATTTTTGTTGGGTAAAATCATATGCAGAAGGACAAAGAAGAGGGAAAGATGAATCTGGATGCTGACAGTGAACCAGTGCCTGGAAATGGAACAGAAAAGATAGAGGAAGATGCAAAGGAGGCAAAACGTGAAGGGACAAAGACCAAATCTGATGTTAATTTGTCAGAAAAAAGAGATACAAAGATGGAGAGTGGGAATAAAGAGCCATCTGTTGTCAAGGAGGCTGTGATTGATAAGGAGCTGTTGCAGGTTTCTTTGCAGAGAGATTATATTCCTCTACACTTAATATTATCTTTTCATTTTAGATGTAAGGATCTTATTGCCCTTTAATGATATAAGTTTTCATTCTTGGAACAGGCTTTCCGGTTTTTCGATCGAAACCAAACTGGCTATATTAGGGTAAGGACAAACTTTTATTTTATATTTTTGTTCTTTGTAATATTCATGTGCAAGAGCAATGGATATTTGTTACCTTTTTCAGGTTGAAGATATGAGATTGATTATCCATAACTTGGGGAAATTTCTTTCGCACAGGGATGTGAAGGTGAGAATTTTTGCCATCTCATTTAGCACCGCTATGCTGCCTCTCCCCTCTTTCTCTCTTGCTTTCTCTCCTCTCTTTCATTTCCCTCTAATAATTTGGAAAATCTGTTTCATGATGGTTGTCCTGTGTCAGGAACTTGTGCAAAGTGCGTTGTTAGAGAGCAACACTGGCAGAGATGACCACATTCTCTACGGCAAGCTAGTGAGAATGATTATTTGAAATTCAATGCTTTGGCAGTTCTGATCCATGCATAGGCTTTTTTTTTCCCCCTTTTTTAACATCTCCAGTTAATGGCCCTTGGGTGAAGGCGCAGAGCCTAGTTTTTTTATTTGGATTTTCTGGTGAAACATGTGCTCATACATGTGTTTTGCACAATAATTTTAGTTTTAGAGCTTAGGTTGTTCAAGAACGATCCGATAATTGGGAAAATGTAAATTATTTTGTGCCTCCTGTTGGGAACTCTGACGTGGATTATGATGAGATCTAATGAATGATGTAAATTTTCTGTAGTCCTTCTAACATCCCGGTTTAAGCAGTTTTGCTATTGCTATTGTTTTCGTGTAAGGTATTAGAAATGGGAAAGAGCAGCTCCTGTAACTCGTTGGAAAATTGCTGTTTTGGGTGTTCACTCATAAAAAGTGTACTGCAATGATCACAGTTAACTAACAATTGATTCTTTTACAGTTAGTAAAATCAAACCTCATCATTATATATATATATATTAAAATCAAAATAGTTTTTTCTTTTTAGAAATATTTGCCATTGGCTATCAATTGTTCAATTATGCCATCTTGAGGAGGATGAATTAACAAATTTATATTAAAAAAAATGCAACATGGTACCTCGGAAATTTGGAATGAGTAGAGCAATTATATATTCATACAAGATGAAGAGTAACCAAAAAAAAAAAAAAAATAAATAAAAACATTTTCTTGGAATAGCTATTAGCTTAATAGCTTAACCATGAATTCCATCAAGAAGGTGCCTCAATGCTTGTTTCTTTACAACTTTTCCATATATTCCTCTCCCCAATCTCATTAATCTCTCCATCTCCACCACATTACCGTTTCTCTTCAATCCTTCAATCAAAACTTTCACTACCCTCTCATCACTTCCTATTGCTTCTGCAACACTATCCACCACCACATCAACTGCAGGAAGCCGCCCTCCCCACTTCTTCACCACCTTCTCTGAACTATATGCATCACAATATGAGGCCCAAAGTGATGCCCTAAAATATCCTCTCTCTTTCCCTCTCACCATCCACCTTTTCATACCTTCCTCTAACCTATAAATTGCACCACCTAAATCTAGCCCTCTTTCTAATCCCATTTCAATTTCCTGTATTTCTTGCTTAGAACAAAGCACTTGTTCTTCAATCTTGCATCTTTTGCATTGACATTGAAAACCCCATGTCTTTGACATTTCTCTTCTCTTCTCCAATGGCAAAAGCACATCAAAATATGCAAATGTGATCTCTTCACCTGCCTTTACATCTCTTGAAGCATGTACTAATATATAATCCCCTACATGCAACCGTCTCGCATTAGGGTTACATGAATGATTGATAAATGAAGCTAATACCCACAATCCCACACCATAATAATCTTTGTTCTTGCCCAAAATTGAATTTTCGACAAGAGAATTCACATCCAATATGCTCATCATTTTAACCATGTCAAGCTCCTCTGTCGATTGTTCACTCTCCTCTACTTGAGGCCTGAAGAGACTAATTTCAGGAACTTCAAGCTTGTCTTCTTGTTCACCAATTGATAATACGCTCACCAAATCTTGGATTCTTTTACACCTTTTGGTAGATTCTATTACTTCATCAACGAAATTTTTCCACATTACCAATTGAGCATTCTCACCTGAATCTTTGTTTGATAATATGCCTCTTTCTGTAGCAATTGCTTTGTTCACCAACACTAAAGCCCCTGCATCGATATTCTTTGTAGCAAATAAGCCTCTTCCACTAAGCTCAGACTTCTTAATCTGCACAAAGCCAATATATTCAGCAAGATCCGGTGACTTGCCGGAAAACCCACTTAGAACCCAATCGGAGAGGTCAAAAGATCCGGTTCTTGATTGAAACTCAAGTTTCTTGCATTTCTCTAAATACCCATTTAGGGTTTCAAGATTTCCAATGGCCTGTGGATCAAGAAGAGATGTTTTGAAGCAATCTAAAGCCGTAGAGTACCTATTCAAAGAAAGCAGAATTTTGCCTTTGCAGACAAGAGACTTGAAATGGGTATGATCAATTTTTAATGCTTGATCGCAATCTTTGAGTGCTTGAGTGAAATCTTTAAGCCTCAACTGCGCTTCGGCCCGGTTAGATAGGGCTAAGCAGATGGATTTTTGAAGCTTGGTAAGGTGATCCGGGTTTGGGAATGTTATGGATATATGGTTTTGGCAAAGGTTGATGAACTGAGTATAGAGTTGTACGGACTCTTGCCATTCTTCGCGGAGGAGAAGCTCATTGGCCTTTAATCGGAGCTCTTGCAAGAGCTCTTCTGGCAGCGACTGCGGTGGTAATGGCTGGTGGTCGTTTTCTTCTCTCATTTTTTATGACGATGGGTGCAACCAATTTTACTTCTATCGGCGGCTTGTTTTAAATTTGAAAGCTTGTAACGTTCACATTTTGTAACGGCAACGGCTATATCCAGCATTTACTTAGTTTTACTGTTTCCATATTAAGAACTGTTCTGAATATTGATCGTGATTAAAAAATAATAATAAAGCAATTTTGGATTGTTTCGAGCGATTAAAGATGAAGTCTTAGATTCAACTCATATTTCTCCAATGAACATAAAAAATGTAGTGATTCTAAAAGAGGGGGGAAGACAAAAATTATGTACATAGAAATTATTACTTCAAAGTTTTAAAAACCTAATTATTGAGTTAACTCTGACTGTTAATCTCTATCTAAAGCTATATTTAAAAGAAAATTCATCAAATGGGAAAAGAAAACCGTTAATCAAAGTTGGAAAATATCAAAGGCAGGCACCAAAACCCATTTGCATTTATAGTAGAAGAAAGAATACACAAATAAATGGCTGTGATTGTTTCCAAGTGTAAATTTCATAGCAAGGGTTTAAATTCACATAATATCATACCAATTGGACAAGCTAATCATCATCTTATGCATTCCTTCGAACTGGGAAGAACCAATATACATATACTTCAAAATTGTAGGAGACTAATCGGAATCTCCCTTTTAACTCCAAGATGTGTTCTTGGACCTTTACATTTTTTTTGAACATTTGGTCCACGTCAATTTTCTGCAAAGAAAGTTCCATCTTGTATTGTGAATATGGGAAATCAATCAATATTCTTAGGAAGGGCACTTGCTCTCCTCTTTCCAGTAACTTTGCAATCCATGAAAAGCAATTCCAAAAATTGCTTCACCTTGTGTGACAGTATCATTTGGCGAAACAGGAAGAGAACATTATAGCCAGATGGCAAGCTAAGAGTTCTGAACTTCTGATTATTGAAACAAAACACTCCTACTGATGTATCTCCATTGTAAAGCCACATGTACCAGTGAGACTAGAATTGCTGATTCACATAACACTAGAATATCAATTGTTCTTCTAAATTAAGAAAAAAGACGGTGGTGCAAAATATCATCAATCCTTGACGATGTTGATGTAAAACCAAAATTATAGTGCATGACCTATGAATACAGTTTGGAAAACAAGACTCACTTGTTTTGCAGTAGAAAGAAGCTTTCTCATCATGTTGATTCATTACTTCTTCAAGACATACATTCCATCTCGTAGTTCTAACTTCTCTTCAGAAACTAAACCTGACAGAAAGCTTTGCAGCTGCTGGAGTGACTTGTCATAAGGAGGATCAGCTACACAAAACATCTGGAGCAGTGTTTTTGTTGTGTACATGAGTTTTCTAACCAGAAATTAAGCACATGAACAAAAATCAAATGGACTTGTTAAACCATTCTCACCTTGAGAGTGTTATGTATACGATCCAATGCCACGCTGCCGAAATTTGTGAGCATCCCCATTATAAATTTCTACAAAAATCCAAAGGTCCTTTAGAAAGCTAAGCAGAGAACATATGAGATTTCAAAAGTATTGCCATAATCCCACAAATACAAAAACGTCCTCCACATATTTATTTATACTCTGATATCCTTCATCAATGTGTTTCCCACTAGTTGCTCACTACCTAACCCAACGCCAGCCCACTTACCCTCTCAACAGGAAAATAAAGCAAAACCAGACATGGCTCTTTAAATCAGCTGATATTAATGGTTTACATTAGTATTTATCTTTTGGGAACAGATGGCCATTAAAGAGAGCAACTAAATCAAAGGCAAGTCTCTCTTAAATGCAAATATCAAAGGAATGAAGATTAAAGAACTTCCTAATTCTAAGATAACCCAGCCAATTAAATGGAGACAAAAGTGGCTTTTGTCAAAGTGGCAGTAGCTATTTGCCCAATTGTAGATGAAATAAACACAGAACCCAACCCACTCCCTGCAGATGAAAGGAGCTATTCTTCAAAGCAACCTCTTTGAAGGCTCAGTTCGACTAAAATCAACCATTCCTAATGAACAGCAATATTTATCCGAAAACTTCACCACTGTATCACATACCTCATACACGGTCATTTCCTTGCGTATTTGGTCCTCAACAGAGGCTACAGATCTCTCTCCCTCCTCATCACCTACTAGCAGTTCCTCAGAATTCCCAATGTTACCACCATTTTTACTAGCATCAACCATGCCTTCCACTAGAGTAAATACATGATTATTAGCATCTGTCCCAGGTGATTCTGCAATAATTCCCTGGACACAGAAAAAGAGGTGAGAACAAACAATTACCTCTTAACATTTAGTCCCTGTAGCTTTCACATCCATCAGAGTACACAATATCACACATTTAAACCACAAATTTAAGTCAAAACTTGACCAGAAAAGGATAAGAAGTAAACTTCACAATGAAATCGAGACTCCTATCAAATTGATCACAAGAGAATAGTAGTACATTACAAAATGACTTTTTAATCCGTCATGAAAGTAATAGTTACAGAAAGGAAAAACTTCCCACACAGAAAAAACCCACAATGGGTTGCCCACCTATACTGGTAAACATATTGCTCAGTCAGTAACACCTTTCATGTTTGTTAAACTGTATACTGGGGTTTCTATCAGTCTTAAAAGTTATATGTAACAAAGATGCAGAGTATTCAAAGACCAAAATAAAGGTGTTTCTAAGCTACCTTGCTTATCCAAAAATTTATCCTCCGATTTAGTACATCCACTGGTACCCCAATAGCAGCTGCAAGCTTACTAGATGTCCAACTGAAGCAAAAAATAAACACTGTTAAACAGTCAATGGATAACAACTGAAATTATTCTTAAGTCTACCTCGTTTCATCTTGAAATTGCATGATAATTGCCGCATGTACAGGAGCCACTGTTAACTGCATTGCTCTATCTTCAAATTGCAACTCCAACTAAAAAGTGCATCCAGATAAGAAGTGTAAATATATTTTGAGTGCCAAATTTAAAGAGAGAACAGGACGAAATTTCGAAGGAGCTAACCTTGACTGTGCCAAGATTTTTCTTCCAAAGTAACTTCCGAGGAGTCTTGATTTCATGAAACCTATTGGAATAATCAGTAAGCAGCTTTTCAACAGGTTCAGGTACATTAAGTGCCTCGTCCTGAGATTAAAAGTAACAAGTTTTATGCCTTTGTAAACTGAAGCTTTCATGAAAAGAATGGTCTTGAAAGGAACAATACATAGAGGCAAATTATGCATGTGGTGCATTATCATATTACCATTTCTATGCTCAATACTTTATATGCATTGAAAGTAAATTTGAACTATTATCATAAATGGAACATCAGACTAAACAGATAGGAGGGAACTTCATAAAACTAGGAAGGAGTATCAGTACTTGCTAATGCAATTGGAAAAAATGACAACACAATTGCAGTAAATGAAGCAGTACAGGTTGTTGAAAAGTATTATGTTTCACTTAAACAGCTGCCAAATCTACAAGCAGTGAAATCTTTGATATACGTTTCTTGTTGACGCCTATTAATTAAGGTTAAAGTAGACAGTGCCTTACACCCAGGATGCAGGACATGCAAATAAGCATTCTGATGCTAGCAACCACAAGAAAATGCTTTGATTCATTTGTATCAAGTTCAACAATTGAATATCCATTCTCTAGTCCTCAAAATTTTTGAAAATAGCTACCAATAATATAAAAACAACAAATCATAGCATTAAGCAAAGTTGTGCTTAGTACCTGGATTGGAGGCCAAAAATTTGAAGATATAATTGTGGCATCAAGAATATCCAGAGATACTCCCATTTCCTGCTGTTCTGGACCTAAAGGATCATTCAATAAAGGAAAAAATTGTGAACACAAATCAAATGGTAATTAATATGTGAAAGCAGTCAAACAGCTGTAATGAGGCTAAAATTTTTAAACTTTCAGGGATTACTTGTTCGAGATGATTTTATTGTTGCTTTGATGTTGTGGTTCGTTCTCTTGGAATCAATCAGATCATTTAGCATAATTTCACACCTTTGCATACTACTCTCTCCAAAATGTATCTGGAAAATTACAGGCAAAAGAATAAAGGTTAAAAGGGACTACTTCCTCTAACAAAACTAAATTAGAGGAACAAAGATCAAATAGGAGAAGACCACATGCCTTGAGAAGTTCTAAAGTACGTATCTCCGAGTCAATGTCATAGTCGGATTTGTTGAGAAGTTTTTCAGCAAGCATAACACGATATTCATTAACAAGTTGGTCTTTTGAACCAATTATGCTAACAACCATCCCCAGTATGTCAACCTTCCTTTGGTTTCTGCTGCCCTTAGATGGATCAGCCTCAACAGGATCAGGCTCCCAGCTGAAAGCACAAAACTCGAGCAAAGCAACAATGTCAACTCTTGTCGTACAGTTAGACGGAAGAACCAAGTATCAGCAAACTTGAGCCATAAATTACCCGGCAGACATGAATTACAAATTACACATACCGGACAGCATTCATCCATGCTTGCTTGTCATCAGTGTGGAAATCATCATCAGCACCAGCATTTTCTTGACTTTCCTCATCCCTATTTAATTCTTCAAGAAGGCTATCCCCAGTAATTCCAGATCCACTTGGGTTCCCCCCAGTCCCATCAGTAAGCATAGTCACAATGCATTTTATGGTGTCTTTCCTACCCCTTAAATACTCTCTTATAGGTTCACCAACTGCTTCAAGAAAGACACCAGCAGGATCAATTGTACGCAGTGCTTTAATAGTCGAAACATATTGATGCAGTATGTCATTGGTTGAGGCACCCGCAGTGAGCAAGCGATATCTCAATGCAGAAATAAAAGACTCCACAAGCTTAGAGTGTTGTCCAGTATATTCAAGGCACTGTTTTAAGTCCTCAATTGCAGGGGAGCTGCAGCATTCATAAAATAATTATGGAGCACCAAGGAATTCCTATGTAAATAACTCATTGAGACACATAAAAATGCATTCAGGATTAGAAGAAAATTTATAAACCCATACATGATATACATAGCCATTTTCATATATACTGAAAATGCGTTACGTTGTATTCAATATTTGTTCCAATTAAAATACATAAATATCATTCCTCAAATTAAAGATCAACCTTTTACAATAAATGCTTCCCATATTAACTATAGAAGATAACCTGAGACATTAACATTCACCCTTATACCAAAATAGACTTACTGCAAGTTTTTATGCACGATAAGATCGAGAGAAGCAAAGAAGGCGATGCTTCCTTTACTTGAGGGAAAAACTAAACTCAAAGTGAAATTTAAAGAAAAGAAAAAAAATGAAGTTAAGTTTCAACTAACAAAAAAGACTAACCTCTCAGGGTAGTCCACAATAATCTCAAATAATTTGGCTATTCTCAAATCTTGCAATGTTTCATAAGCAAAATACTCTAGCCTCAACTGCCATCTAATAAGTCCTTCAGAAGGAGTGTTGATTCCAGGATGAGATGATGATGATGAGTGACAAGCCAAAGGTGATTTGAGGCCAGGTGAAGCGCTATCACAGCCAACAGAATCACCAAGATAAGCAAGAAGTGCATGCAAGAATTGAAGAGGCACAGCCTGTCGAATATACCTCCAAGGAATCACCCACAAGAAATACAAGAAGAGAGACCCAACAATATAGACATAGAAATCAAATGTACACAGCTAAAAACCTGAACCAATGCCAACAATGACACGATGACACTTGGTACATTTGCAGGATTTTAAATTTTGCACATAAACACAAAACACAAGGATCATTGGAATTTAAGATAGACCAATGTTAATAATATCAACACAAGAATAATAACAGAATATACGGTTTGAAATTTATAGTACAAAACTGCAAATTTTCAATCATTGAAATCATATTACAAATTGTACCATACATTAAGCACCTTGCCTATGAGGTCCTTGGGCCCAATCACCAGGCAATCATACATGAAATGGTAATCGAGATCAATTGGTACAAAAAAATCATGGATCTAAAGGGGCAGTCACAGTTTGCAAATTTAATGGGCTATGCGGGTGAAATCACTCAAGTCATCTACACACAGAAGCATACATGAGCATCATAATTAATTGTATAGGCTGAAAGAAACAGAAATGCTAAGCAGACACAGAAAGGAACCTGGATCCACCCTTTAATGGATTCCAAAACAGAAGCCCTGTAATCATCGCCGGCCAGATCATGCACTTTAGCCTGCATGAAAACAGGAAATATACAATGTTATTACTAAAGTTGAGATGACATATTTATTCAAGAAAAATGATGCGCAACAAATCAACATGCATGCACCACTTTGATTGATTGAAAAGTACAATTAAGTGTAATATCTATAAGTTGCCAAAACAAAAACAATAATGAAACAGGGACCCAAGTAGCGTAAAACGTAAATGATAAACACAAAATTCAGAAATAAGTAGCTCAAAAAATGTGAAATAATTTAATATATCTAATGGTATAATTATTTCGATATTAAATTAAAATGATGGTATAACATTAAATTGATCAAGTAACTATATGATCAATCTCTAGAATAATATAAATATAATCAAACAGAAAACTAAAACAAAACTTTAAGGAATGATAACTCCACATAAGAATTAAATAAGATATCCAATAAAATATTTTATACATTACTTTTAGGGAAAAAATATATATATACATTCAAGATGTGCCCTTTCCAAACTACAATTAAATTCCTAAGTTAACACCTTTAAATTGTAAATAAACACCTTATGTTTGTTTCTCTTGAATGTTTCCCAAGTGTTTTCGCAACAAGAAATATTTCCAAAAAATATTTCCACATCTGAAACATGCCTAATGTCAAATAGGAACCCGGGAGAGGTCTGTGCTTCACAGCAGAGCAAGCATAATTAGTTACACAATCACCTGCAGAAGCAAGAAGATGGCAGAAGCATATGCATCTTCAGTCATAGAAGTAAATCCAAGACTTCTGAGGTCTCGGACAACCTTCCCAATGTTCTTCACCAACTTGTTGTTTTCTGTGAATTTACTTTGGATATAGCATTCATCAATATCCATTTCACCATTTCTACAAGAGTGTTTACTTTTCTCATCTAAATCCATGTCATCTTTATCTTGTGAATCGCCATCATCATTAACCTCTCCATCCATGATTGTACTCAGCTCCTCCAGCCTTCCCTTAAAATACCAGTGTAGCATTTCTAAGAACATTGTGAGGCAGGGAAAGGAAGGTAGAAATTAAATTTACTTTCAAAAATTTGCTTCAGCAAGAAATGCTACTGACAATAAGTTAATAACAGAAAAGAAACTAACTTCAGTATGTATTTTAAAACTGAACCAGAACAAAAACAGAAAACTTATAATTTAAGATGTACACAAGAAACTGAAACAGATATGCATACCGGGAAAATGCTGAGGAAGACTGGCCATGAGAACTGAAGATACCATTAATTGATACCTCGAAAAGATGTATGACCTTTCAGTGTCCAAATTATGTTTTCCCTCAGATAAGCATTCCTTGTAAGACTGCAAGGCATGAACTAAAACTAACAGACACTTCTCCTGATACTGTTTTACCAAGGATATCTCTTCAAGAGCTGTACGCAAAATTTGTTGCAGCTCATAGTCAAAGGCCTACATTTTTTACCATTTCAAGGCATCAGTTTTCTAGATATCAGTGTATTATCAGAAAAATCCAATCTATATTACATACAGGAGTTTTATTCTTCTCCGGAGCTGCTACATTGCTATAAGCATCGAAATGCTGCCAAAATTTTGAAGTTCCACTTTTCCCAAATGTTTCCTGTTACAAAAAATAATTATATGCAGTTCTGAGATTGACAACCTATCAATGACATTAAAATCTAAAAACTTTAACTTAATTCAAGAGGAACAAAACCATTCTTCGTAATGATCCAAGAAATCAATTTCCAGAATCACAAGTACCCAACACTAACAAGAAGAAAGAGAACAACGAATACCTCTAATGACTTGAGGAAATGATCACGAACAAGAGAGTCAAGGCCATGCTTGCAAAGAGAGTGCACATGAGACACAAACTCCGGTACCAGAGAGAGACCGCCGGCGTCATTAAGAAGAGCTACAGTGGCGGCACAAAATCCATTGTAACCGTCTGGAATTTCATGGATCGAATCGCCGCTTAACGTATCCAAAATCCCTAAATTGCCAGAAGGATTTACTTCTTCCATTTCCTTGAAAACCCTAGAGAGAAAATGCTCGAGTGAGCTTAGCAGTACCAAGCCTGAGCCAGTGAGATCGTGAAAGCGAGGGAAAATAAAATTGGGGCTTTTCAATTTCTTTTCTTTTTTTTTTTTTTTTACCGCCACTAAAAACAAGTCGACTTAAAAAAAAAAGACTAACTTCACTCTTTTTAGAAAAGCCGAGACAAAGCTGTTACTGTAGTCTCCTTCTTCAATGAGATCTAGCCAAAGCCATGGGCTCGACCAGATCCAGACTCAGACTCATAAAAAGATCCTATTAACCTCACTCTCGGCCATAGCAGCGGAGACTGTTACTTTCCCAATAGACCTCACAAAGACTCGACTTCAGCTTCACGGCGAGTCTCTCTACGCCACCCGAGCTCAACCCACCAACTCGTTCCGAGTCGCCACCGAGATCGTTCGCCAACAAGGTCCTTTTGGACTCTATCAAGGCCTATCTCCCGCCATTTTAAGACATCTCTTCTATACCCCTATTCGAATTGTGGGTTACGAGAATTTGAGAAATTTTGTTGCCAAAGATGATGGTGGTTCCATTTCTCTCTACACTAAAGCTCTTCTTGGCGGAATCTCCGGCGTTATTGCCCAGGTATGAGATTCATCTTCACTGCAAAGATTTAAAATTTATTATTTTTGTTGAGTAGCTAATGAATTGACATTAATCACAATATAGAAGTGGATACCTAAAGAAGCAGTACATCTTAACTATTTAGCTAAACATAAATTCTACAGTTCATAACAATTCAGAAGTCTGCTCTTTTAGTTATTGGAATTCACAATAACTAATATATAATTTATCTAATTATTAATTGGAATTTCAATCTGTTTAACGATTCACATAACTAGTGATTCCCATTATGCATCAATTACATAGTACATTTTCTGAAAATAACTATGCCAGTTTTTGTTCGCCATTACTGTAGGCAGTGGCTAGCCCTGCTGATCTCATCAAAGTAAGAATGCAAGCAGATGGTCGCATGGTGAGCCAGGGTCACAACCCCAGATATACAGGGCCTTTGGATGCGTTCTGCAAAATAGTGCGCGCAGAAGGGTTTGGTGGGCTCTGGAAAGGCGTCCTTCCGAACATTCAAAGGGCATTTTTAGTGAACATGGGAGAATTAGCCTGCTACGATCATGCCAAACAGTTTGTTCTTCAAAACCAAATAGCTGCTGATAATATATATGCACATACCTTAGCTTCGACTATGTCGGGGCTCTGCGCAACTGCTTCGAGTTGTCCTGCAGATGTGGTTAAGACGAGAATGATGAATCAAGTAGCAAGCAAGGAAGGTGAGATTAAATACAGGAACTCTTATGATTGTTTGGTGAAGACTGTTAGAATTGAAGGATTAAGAGCATTGTGGAAAGGGTTTTTTCCTACTTGGGCAAGACTTGGTCCTTGGCAATTTGTGTTTTGGGTTTCTTATGAGAAGTTCAGACAAGCAGCAGGGCTCTCTTCCTTCTAATATGAAGGAACATAAACATCAAACGTTATGACAATAATTATCCCAATTTTTATCCAAATTTTTGTGTAGTTTTTCTTATATTCAACAATAAGTAAATGATATGAAATTTTTTCAAGTGTCTGAATTTGTAGTTTTATATCTTGAAAATGTAATACAAATCTAGAAAATCATTTTTAATTGACTTTTCTTTTAATAAAAATTTGTTTACTAATAAACTGATATTCCAAGTTAATTTCCATGGATTTGGAAATAGATTTTCATTATATTCAATCGATTTTAATGTTATAATCAAATATTTATTAGCTTCTGAATCCAAAAGATGGCTTTCATGGTTGAATTAAAAAAAAAAAAAAAAAAACAACATAATGCTATCTAATAAATTTTTTTTCAAATAAATTGTCAGTGCATCAATAATAGTTTTTAGGCTCTGTTCATAAAATATCATTACTCAAATTTGTAGAACTAAAATTTCCAATCACAAGAAAAAATAATTCATCATGCATTTCGAATTGTCAAAAAAAAAAAAAATTGTAAACACAAAAAACAATAAAAAAATAACTCCATGAAAGGAGAGAAAATATAATAAACCAAATACTCACAACCTACTAAAAGTTAAAAAAAATAAGGATAAATCTAAAAAAAAAATTCAAAATTCATCTCATACTAAAAACATAAAACTGAACATTATTAAAAAAGTTAAATAAAATAAAGAAAATAACAACAAATAATTACCGCTATGAAAAAAGCGCGATTTGCGGTGACTTTAAGAATTTAGAAATGACCAATATAATTGTTAAAATAGTTGATAGGGTTTACCAGTAATATTTGATAGCGTTTATTGGTGAATGGTGCCTGGTAAATTTTTTATAGCAATTATTGTTAAAATATAAAATGACCAATATAATTGTTTTTTAATAAATTATAATATATGATATGTATATTTTTTATTTTTAAAAGTGAAAATATTATTTTTTATTCTAATATATTATATAAATAAAGAATATTAAATAAATTTTTAAATAACTATAATACAATGATCATAAAAAATATGAATTTAAATTTTTATTAGTAGTTATATTTCTAAAGTTAATGGAGTCTAAATAAAATAATATTCAAATCAGCTAGCAGTTAGCTATCAGGAACCTGATTCAAAAGCTTATCAAACACTTACAAACTAATTGTTGAGTACGAATTAGCTATCAAATACACAAATTTGGTGAATCAACTTCTACAGAAGAGGGAGAGGGAGAGAGATTGCTAGGTTGTAGTGGTAGATTTAATTATAATACTTTTCAAAAATTAAAAAGCATAAATTCTTCGATTGCATATGGCTAATTATAAAAGCATAAAAATTATAATTTAAAGGTAGTGTTATTGCTGGAACAATAGTTGATATTTTCGGGGTAGGAAAATTTTTAAAGCCTTAACGAGGTAAATTTGCCCTTCTCATTCATTGAGTTAGCTGGTATTTGATGAAACTTGAATTAAATGCTAAAAGTTAAAATCTAAATAATTTTAAGTAGTGAATAATTTAGGTGATGAAAATTCTAAATTGTAAGATAATTTAGAAGTATATTGACTTTTTGTGTTTAATACCAAATTTTAAGTTTGAAATTTTTAAAAGTGAATTTCAGCTTAATTTTTAAATTTAAGTGGTGTTTAATAAGCAATATTAAATATTTAAAACTATTAACCTGAGTTGCGAGATGGGATAATAAGGATTTCTTTTCCCAAGTTTCGAGTTCAAGATTAGTCAATCGAGTAGGCTATATATATATATATATATATATATATATATGTATTTTTGATGAAACTTGGAACATATAATAGATGCCTAAAATTAACATAAAAAAAGATCTAAAATAATTTAAGTAGTAATAATTTAGGTGAATGAAATTTAGCTTAAATTGTCACGAGAAAGATAAATTACTATAGAATTAAGATCATAATTTGACCTTTTTTGTTGTTTAAATACCAAATTTTAGTTTGAAATTTTTTAATAAGTGACCTTTCAGCTTTAAATTATTTAAATTAAAGTGGTGTTTATATAGACTAATAATATAAAATATTTAAAAACTATTTAAACTAGAGTGCGTAGATGGTGATAACTATATCGTTCTTTTCCCAAGTTTACGAGTTTCAAATATTAGTCAATCGAGTAGGCTTTATATATATATATATAATATATATATATAATGTTGTTCATGCGAGCGATTTAATAAAACAGGGAGAAGAAAATGTGGTATAGGTCCCTCGACAGTGAAGACCCATCACTAAATGTGTGAAAATAGGTGATAGAAAGAAAAAATTGGTGAAGAAGAAATTGTTATTATCTCGTGTGAGTGCATCGAAAACTTTAACCATGTTACTCATACCGACCAAAATCTGGAAGTAGAGTCGTATCAGTCTGATATAGTAATGCGTCATGACTGAGATCAGTCTCTCTATCTTCAATCCATCACCAACAAAGAGAGAAAAAGAATGAGGATAGTTTCTAGTTTTAGTTAAACGTAGGCTTCTAAAAACTAGGCAGATAATATAAAGAAGTTAAGATCGAAAATATGTAAAGATAATTTTGGGTGTTTTTTGGAAATTATTTTTATTGATTTGCCACTATTTTTTTACTTCATTACTCTTCTTTGTAAGCCTCTATTATTTAATATATTGTGGATAGAAATATTAGAGTTTTTGGGTCGTAGACGTAAGCCCCTAAAAGTTTAAAGGGTGAACCACTTAAAATATCGTGTGTCTTTTTATTTTTTACCCTTATATTTTGACTGGAATCATATCTAGACAAAAAAGGGTGTGGGCAAGTTAATAATTCAATTATATTAGTGTGGAAAAAATACTCGTAGTTATTATATGTTGTAATTTTTTCCAACCTCTTCTAAATGTTAAGTATAGTAGTCAACAGACCAGGTGCTGGGGATATGTTTAAAGTCTTATCAGTCAGCGTTGAAGACAAATGGGAAGAAAGCTAAAATGTGTTAGAGTTGATAATGGTGGTGAGTACAGAGGCCATTGAGAAAGTATTGCTCAGAACACGGCATCAGACTTTTTCAATAAGGCTAAGTTCTTAAACTCTTCATCACGAGAATGACAGAATGGAGTTGCAGAGAGAATGAACAAAACCATTGTTGAAAGGGTTAGATGTATGCTCTCTCATGCTAAACTTCCAAAAACCTTTTGGGGCAAAGCAATGAATACTGCAGTTTACTTAATCAACCTTTCACCTTCAACCTCCCTCAACGGAGATGTACCAGAAAATGTGTGGTCAGGGAAAAATATTTCTTTCGATCATCTTAGAATATTTGGTTGCAGGGCTTTTGTTCATATTCCAAAAGATGAAAGATCCAAGCTTGATTTAAAGTCAAAACAGTGTATCTTCTTAAGTTATGGAAATGATAATTTTGGGTACAGATTATGGGATCCAGTTGAAAAGAAGCTCATCAGAAGCAGAGATGTCGTATTCCTGAAAGACCAAACCATTGAAGACTTTGAGAAAACCTATTAGTATAAACATTATGAAGAAAAATGATAATAACGCCAAAGTCTATCAATGGATTATATATAGTCTTTCGCATGCAGACCTCATTTAAAAACACACAAAAACGATTTGACAGAAGGACTCTGATGAAGATGATTACACAATTTCACAATGTATGCTGAAACCAGGTCCTACAGAAGAACTGCTCAAATTGAGAAGAAATCTGCCAAGGGCAGGATTACCTTCCGAGATATTCTTCCTAGTTTCCTGTTAGTCTTGATGCAGGACCTCATGTAAAACCACAAAACGATGAAGAAGACGATGGTGAACCAATTCACAATGATGCTGAACCAGGTCCTACAGAAGAACTGCCTCAATTGAGAAGATCTGCCAAAGGCAGGATACCTTCCCAGAGATATTCTCCTAATGAGTATGACTTGTTGACTCAAGGGGGAGAACCAGAGAACTACCAGGAGGCAATGGAAGATTGTAAAAGGAATGAGTGGTTGAAAGCCATGTAAGATGAGATAGAGTCCTTGCATGAAAATCGGACTTATGAGCTAGTGAAACTACCTCAAGGTAAGAAGGCACTGAAGAACAAATGGGTGTTCAGGTTGAAGACTGAACAGAACAACTCACAGCCGAGGTACAAGGCAAGACTGGTTGTGAAGGTATTCGGTCAGAAGAAAGAAGTTAACTTTGAAGAAATTTTCTCACCCGTAGTTGAGATGTCTTCTATCAGAGTTGTGATCGGTTTAGCAGCTAGCTTGAATTTGGAGATCGAGCAACTTGATGTAAAGACCGCTTTCCTCCATGGTGACTTAGAGGAGGAAATTTATATGGAGCATCCAGAAGGGTTCAGAGTCAAAGGCAAAGAACACTTAGTGTGTAAATTGCAGAAGAGCTTGTATGGCCTCAAACAAGCTCCTAGACAGTGGTACAAAAAGTTTGACTCTTTCATGGTAAATCACGGGTATGAAAAAACTACTTCTGATCACTGTGTATTTGTGAAAAAGTTCATAGAAGGCGTTCATAGACAGATAGTAGACTTTTATATTTCTCTTGTTATATTACAGTGCAGAAGAATTTAAATTGGTCTTATTGTTCGGGCCATTGGATTTGCTGAGAAATTGAGAGGCTTGGAGAAAAGGGACATCCAAGAGAGCTTCAGAACCAAATCTATGTTGTTCTGATGGATATATAGGAATCACTTACAAAAAACTCGATTAAACAGAATTACTCGGCAATGTAAGGATCTCCAGAGACAAGGAAAAAAAGAGAAAGTTGGGCTGTCTCAAGAGATTAGAACACGGATCAAGAAAGTTCGCTGAGCAGATTCAATATTGCAGCAACGCAAACCAGTTATTGTTACTCCTCGCTTGCACGGTAATATTTCGAAATAAGGTCTTATGTCAATGTCTTCTAGCGTTAGAAAGAAAAAGATAGATATCTAAGGTAAGAAGCATTTTCCATTAGTGCTGATCCGCCACTCACTATGTTGGTGCAAGACTTGATGTACGCCATTAGCTTATGCACAAGACCGGATTATTGCTCCATCGTACTAGTGTTAGGTTGCTTTGTTAGGTCGAAGATTACTTTTCAATCCTATAGTGTAATTCTGATAAAGAACATATGGGAAATCTAGTGAAAGTGGGTTTCAGGCTCATCTATAAGGGCACTTTCCAAAATTCTGCTTATGTTTTTGTGATAATAAACCCTGTGGTTTAGACTGTTGTATACTTACACGGAATGCAGAATTGACACCGGTCGGTGGTATCTTAAGGGCACTTTCAAAATCTGCTTATGTTTTGGTGATAATAGACCTGTGTTAGATGGTTACACAGATGCAGATATGGGTGGTGATGTTGATTCGCACAAATCAACTTTTGGATATCTGATGACCTTTGCAGGAGCAGCAGTTTCTTAGCAATCGAAATTGCAAAAATGCGTTACACTCTCATCCACTGAGGCCGAATATATCGCCATTACAGAAGCTAGCAAAGAACTCTTGTAGATGAAGAAATTCCTACAAGAATTGGGGATAGAACAAGAGAAGTACATTCTACTATGTGATAGTCAAAGCGCGATACATCTCAGCAAGCATTTGGACACCTTCAATTCACAGGTCAAAGCACATGATGTGAAGCGCGATACATCTCAGCAAGAATTTGACCTTTCATTCAAGGTCAAAGCACATTGATGTGAGGTATCATTGGATACGTGATGCGCTAGAGATAAAGTTATTTCAGATTGAAAAGATTCACACTGATGATAATGGCGCTGATATGATGACTAAAGCTTTACCTATAGAGAAACTTGTCACTTTCAGAAAGATAGCCGATATGGCTAACGTCCCCACTTGAGTGTGCAGGGGGAGATTTGTTGTGGCAGTGCCCAGGGACCCACATTTGAAATAAATAAAAAAAAGAGGAGAAGAAAATGTGGTAGGTCCCTCTGACATGTGGGACCTGCACAATTGAAAAAGGAAGAAGAAAATTGGTGAAAGAAGAAAATTGTTTTTTGGTGAGGTGATTTATTTTTCAGTGGACGCGTGATAACTAGGGTAGGAGATGGCTCTCCTATAAATAGGAGATGGCTCAGCTCATCTCATCACACCAACAAGAGAGAAAAAGAGAGAGTTTTCAGTTTTAGAACGGGTTCTAAAACTAGGGTAGTTAGTTGAAAATAATGAAAATAATTTGGGTGTTTTTTTGGGAAACACTTTTTGAGTGCCACTATTTTTATATACTCTCTTTGTAAGCCTACTATTTATTAGTGGAAGAAATATTCGCGGAGTTGGTTCCCTATTACTCTCTTTGTAAGCCTACTATTTTATTAGTGGAAGAAATATTCGGAGTTGGTCCCGTGGACGTAGCCCTAAACAGTTAAAGGGTGAACCACGTAAATATCTTGTCATATTTTTTATTTTTCTGCTGTGTTATTATTCTCGTAATTTTATTACCGGGACCCTAACAATATATATAAATATATATGAGGTCTTATATTCAAACTCTAAGTGTTTCTTTGTAGGAAAAAAAATGTTCCTAATAGGTATAAAAACCAACGGACAAAGTTAAAATAGCAATTTATACATTGAACTTGGTTGCAAATTGTGTTAACAAGCAGTTTTGATTAGACAAATCTTGAACTATCTTCAAATGTACAAATACTATATATTATACATTTATAGATCTCACAAGTGAAGTCCTGAGCCTCTTTTGAAATTCCTGAAATTACTTCCTTCAGAAATTGCCATTCCAATTCCTGTTCTTCCTTCATTATCAGCACCAACATAATACAATCTCCATTCATCTTCATTATCCTCCATTTGAATCAAACATGGAGATCCCACTTCTTTACTATCCCATCTATCATCACCTTCTGAGGCCTCAAGAATTGGATTTTCTTCAACTCTTTTCCAATTCTTCAACCCATCTGGAGATTCTGCCATTCCAATACTCCTGTTCCCATTACTATCAACACCTTCATATGCCATTAAGTATTTCCCATTTTTACCATTTCTAACAACACAAGCATTCTTTGTCCCTAACTCATCAAAACAACCTTCTTTTCCTTTTCCCATAATTTTCCCTAACTTAACCCATCTGATCCCATCTCTGGATCTTGCAATCCCAATACAAAAACACCCATTTTCTACATCAAATGAATGATAATACATTCTTAAATCATCATTTTGATGAATGACAACACGTGGTGAAGAAATAAATAAAGAATCCCACTCTTTACTTGAACCTACATCAAGTAAAGCTCCACTATGATAATCTCCTTCAATTCTAGCCCAATGTCTACCATCTTGACTACAGGCTAAACCTGGCAAGGACTTTAAAACCTTGCCAGGTTTAGCATTGTAATGGCTAACTCTTTCAGGGTTCTCAATAGAAATGTTAAAAAACCGTGAAATCTCCATTTCTTCGGAACTATACCCAGTATAGTAAAGCCAGTAAACCGAACTATACATTGGACTCGACATAATCACTAATTCTGAAGGTCTAATGCTTTCTGTGTCAAACGCCCACCAATTCCTACTACAATCCATTACTGCACCTACATCTCCACAAGAGCTTACATGTTCTGATCCGCGAGTCCAGTGAATTCCATTGCTGGAAACAGCTAATCCAATACGGTCAAAGTTGGAATCAGAATCTGAATCTGATGACATGCCATGATACCACATGTACCACCTTTCTTCATTATCGCCAATGTATCTTTTAACAATCGGAGAACCAATTTCTGCGCTATCCCAAGAATTTTCAGGGCCTAAAGCAAAGACTAAACCTTTGGATTTTTGTTGGGTAAGAGGTAGATTTGATGTTGGAGTTGGAAAATGTGGAGAAATGGAGTTGGAATCCAGTTCAATGGAAGGGTTTCTACTTGTAGCATTGTTATTGCTACCAATTCCTTGTTTTGTAGAGCAACGAGTGAGAAAGAGAGAATTTTGCCAGTCATTTAATGGGCTTTTTGGGTTTATTGGGAAAGTAATTCTTGTGTAAGGCAATAATCTTGGTTGGATTAAATTTAGTGCTTTGGCCATTCTAATTTTGATTGAAGAAGATGAAGAAGAGACATAGATATTTGTCATGGTTACAGAACCCATTACAGAACTGAAACTTAGTTGCAATGTATATCTTTGTGCTTTTATATATGTTTTCTGATTTGTATTTATAGATGTAAAATCTCTTACTTACATGTTCTCTAGTAATTTCTTTGAAGCACATGTTAATTGACTTTGCCAATTGTTACTATTTTCCACTCCCCATCTGTTGTTCTTCCCTGTGAAATATTTTCTTCCACACCTTCAATGCAGGCAGGCAACTCCTACCTGTCAACCTTTATTATGGCATTTCTCTTTTTGTTCATTGCTCAAAAGAGCTTATATTTCATGCCTAAGATATATATCCATACATAGAAAGATTGTAGTATTTGGTTTATTGGTATTATAGTCAGTATTTAAAATATTTTCGAATAAGAATAAACATACACTCCCACACGAAGAAATTAATGCTAAAAAAGTTTCAACACCTTTCATCACTTTGTCCTTGGATTTTTCGATCTAACTTTCAAGTAATGCAGGCATGAGCAGGAATAATTGTTAGAGACCTATAATTCACTCAAATTGCAAAATGTTTGTTATATTTGTATTCCAATAATTGTACATGATGGTAGTGCAATTATTATGCTAATTAAAATTTACAGATTCTTTCGTTCCACAAATATACAGGTCATTTTGAGAATATTAAGTAGTAATTAATGAACTTTTTACAGTTTTACCCTTATATATAATAAACATATTAATTAATTATTATTAATACGAGATAAAAAATAATTTAATCAAACTAATTAATTACTTATTATTAATTTAGGAGAATTAATTGATTTCTTAATCACCATACGAATACCTTAAACAACTTATTTATGTAGATGGAGGAAGTATTATTTAAATATCAAGAATTAAAGAATTGACAAATACATTATCGACTATTTTAATTTTTAGAATCAACAAGTCATTATTTATAAATTGAGGACATAAATTTAATCCTATATACATGAAAATTGGATAACTATACATATTTATTGCTAAATTATACAAAATGCAGTTTTAGTAATGTTATATTTTTATGTACAAAGCATTCCACACTAATTTTACAAAATTCATATAGTTTCATAGAAAATGAATTGATCCTTTCTTTGACTCTTTTAGATTTTCTATCCCTTAAACAAGTTAGCCTAAAACAGTTTAAAATAGCCATTTGAAACCATCCATTGGACCTTCTTTATCGTTCAGGCTAAACCCATTTTTTCTAGAAGCTTGAAAGTTAGATGGCCTAAAGTCTATTCTTACACTTGGCAATGAAATTGCATAATTGCATTTCAAAAAAAAAAAAAAAAAAAAAATCAAAAAAAAAAAAAAAAAAAAAAAAAAAAAAAAAAAAAAAAAACAAATGGTTGTTGCTTTGAGACAGAGAGCCTCGAGATTCCAAGTTTAGTCTATCTCCATCGCCCTTAAAAATTTAATTTTCTATTTTTTTAATTAAGTTTGGTAATTATAGTTCTGGCCTGTTAGTCTGTTTAAATTATAGTATTACATTAATATATTTTGTACCATGACATCTTTGATTTAAAAAAAATATCTGAGAAGAAAGTCATTGGCTAGATAGAAAAAGACAGAATACAATATCATTAAGAGGAAAAGACAAATAATACAAAAATATAAAAAAGGCAAATGATAAATATTTTTGCTCTTTTTGTTATTAAAAAATAATTTAACAGTGTTGCACATCAAAATATAATATTATAAGCTTATGATCTGACTTGACAATAAATATAAAATTGAAATTTTCATTTTTCAATATTTAAAAAAAAAATTTACCAGAAATAATAATACAACTCAAGTCATTTAAATTTTGGAAGGAAAGTATTTTTTTTTTACAACATATTTTTATTTTTACACAAGATAAATAAAATACATATTATTTTACAATTTGTTGGAGTCGTACAAAAAAAAAAAGTCATAATTTGTTTATGTCTTATTTTATAATTCGTTGCAGCTCGTCACCTTTATTAAAAAACAACAAAATTTTAAAAATATTTACATAAGTATTAGAAAATATTTGATATATTATTATATTGATAATTAGGTATAAATTATGTATTTGTCTTTGAAAAGAATTTCTAATAAAAATTACTGACTTAATTTCATATCGTGCTACATAAAGAAAACTTCATGAGAAACAGAATTTGATAGAAATCATAAATGAAGTTGCAATATGCTTATAGGAATAATTTTCATTAAATTTTAATTCACTCTTTTAAGTTATTAGTTCTTCTGTGTTCCAAACTTAATGAAATTACTTTAATTAATATACTAATTTACTTAATTAAGATAATTGAATTTTATTTTTTAAATTCAATTTTTCTTTTCTATGTTAAATATAATGGTATATGCATTTATTATTGACGAATACCTATTTAATTTTGTTACAGAAATACTCTAATCAGTAGAATTTTTAATAATAATTTTTATTTTATTTATATTCCCAAAAGTTTCATTAGAGAATGTTTATAGCCAAATAATACAAATTACAAAGGTTGCAAGATTAAATTTATTTAGCTCAATGAATTTTTTATGCCTGTCAAGTTTTAATTAAATATTTTGCTCTCTATATATTATTTTTAAATATATATAATTAAGAACATTTTTTTTTATATAAAAGAGGTTTATGTTGTGGGGCCCCTTCAACATGTGGGACCCACGCACATTTGAAAAAAAGAAAAAAAGATCCACACACGTTTGAATGAAGAAAAAAAAATATAGGCACGTTTTTTTTTTTTTTTTTTTTTTTTTTTTTCAATGGGGACGGTGTCAAGAAAAAGAAAAGGGAATTTAACGCGTTCAACTTCGTCCCTTCTCCTATAAAAAAGGAGAAGGGATTTCACTTTCAAGTGCACAAAAACGAAGCATAGAAATACATAGAGTGTATAGAAAATTTTAAGAGGAGGGTTTCCTAAAAATTGGGAAAGAGAGAAAATAGTGAGGATTGAAATTTTTGGGGTGTTTTTGGTAAAAACACTTAGAGTGCCACTATTTTTGTTAATCTTCTTTTGTACTACTATTTTTTAGTAGAAAAATTATTCAGAGTTTTGTCCCGTGGACGTTAGCCCATTACTGTGAAAAGTGAAACCATTGTAAATCTCGGTGTTTCTTATTTTTTTCATCTGGCATTTACAGTAATTATTGTTAAATTTTTACCGTGATTATTTATTTTGGTGGATTTGATCGTTCAATATTCAAGATTTTATTATTGGAAGTAATATGTGGTAATAGTAATTTTAATTTTACTTACCACGCATATTTTTCCTCTTTTTTTTTCTAACACCGAGCCCCACTCGGGATAAGTTATAATCCCAACAACTGGTATCAGAGCCTTTGGTTGGTAAATTCTGTCAAAGTTACTATTTACGTGAATAGTGAAATTTTGTCAGATTTAGAATTCAACATGGCTAACGATGGGGCTATGATCAAATTGACGGATTCGAATTATTCAATGTGGAAATCAAAGATCTGTATGATCCAATTGAAGGTGACATTGCAAAGCCGGAAGAAATGCAAGAAAGGCAGTGGGAGAAATTAAAAAGCAGACATTGAGACAATACGCCAATGGATAGATGCTAGCCTGTACAACCATGTGAGAAATGAAAAAGATCCCCAAGTTCTCTGGAAGAAATTAGAGAATATGTACGAGGCACGAATGCTCAAGGAAAAGTTTTCATGATGCTTTAAAGTCATGCAACTTGAAGCTGTCAGAGGGACGATCAATTACACAACACTTGAACGATTTGAAGGACTCGTAACATGAGCTAGCAAGTTAGCGTATGTCCTTAGAAGACGAGATGCAAGCATGCCTACTGTTGGGATCTCTTACCGGATAGTGATACTCTTGTGGTATCATTGAGTAACTCAGCTCCAAAATGGTGTGGTAACAATGTCTGTGGTAAAGAATTAGACTGACTTAATGAAGAATTACGAAGAAGAAGATGTGCCGAGTACCATTTCTCAAGGCCTTTATCACAGAGAATAGGGCCGGAGCAAGAGTAGAGGTCCAAGGCATGTAAAGTCAGGTGGAGTATCCAAGTCCATAAGAGATTGAGAAAATGTTACCATTGCGTAAGGAGGGTCATCTCAAAATGAAATTGTTCCATTTACTCAAACAGATAATGCAGACATTGAAGACAGTTAGAATGAATGGGAAATAACATCTGCTACAGTCTCAGGAGGAAGAGGTGAGGTGACTTTAGTCACTCATGATGCAGATTGTTGTCATGTTGAGATGCAGATACCGAGTGGATTAGTAGACTCCGGTGCCATACCATTGTGTTCCAAAAAGGGAATTACTTTCCACTTATAAAGCAGGAGGACTTATTGGCACTATTTAAAATGTGAATAATAGTTGTCTCGCAAGTGGTGGGAATTGGTGAATATCTGCATTAAAGACAAGTGTCGGTTATACAGTTAACACTTAAAAAATGTGCGACATATTTCCGCATCTATCGGTTGAAACCTGTTGTCTGTGAGTGTACTGGACAAGGAAGGCTATCACCATCATACAGGTCGGGTATAACATTAACACTTTAAAAAGTGCGACATATTTCCGATCTCGGTTGAACCTGTTGTCTGTGAGTGTACTGGACAAGGAAGGCTATCACCATATACAGGTGGCCAGTAATTGGAAACTCACCAAAGGGTTCTTGGTGGGTGGCGAGAGGAAAATTATGCTGCTCGCTGTATAAGGGACGCACGCAATAATATGTGCGGGTCAAACTGAATACAGTTGCAGGATGATGCTTTACCAAATTTGGGCATAGGCGGCTGGCGCACATTAGTGAGAAAGGGTTGAATATGTTGGCTAAGGAAGTCCTCATACCATTAGCCAAAGGTAAAAATAAACTCTGTTGATTATTGTTTGTTGTGAAGCAACATCGGGTCTCATTTTTTGAAAAGCTCTAGAAGGAGAGACAACAAGTTGGAGTTGGTTACCACTCTTGACGTATGTTGTCCCATGGAGGTAGAAATCACTTGAGGAAGTAGGTATTTTCTTACCTTCATTTGATGATTTTTATCAAGAAAAATA